GCCGGACTCCAGATCATGCGTTCGCGCTTGTGCCAGGGCTGAGCGAATGGAAAAGTGTGCGTGCGTGTGCGTGATGTGGGGTGTCAGGAAGCGTCGCGTGTGCCCGCGATCGGGGAATTGTGGGGTGGGGGGCGGGGTGGTGGTGGTGGTGCATGGGGCGTATTTGGCCATGTGTGGATGGGGCGCATTGGGACGCGGATGGGCGGCCGGAAATTGCGCGTGCCGTGCGGTGCCCGCCTGTCTTTCGGCTCGGTGAAGCCGGCGGGGCGTCGGGACTCGCGCCGCCTTCGCGATTGCGCGATTGCGCGGTCGTGTTGATCATGGTTTTGGGGCGCGCTGGGCTGGCGGTCAGATGGCGTGCTGTTGGTGGGCGGCGACCGTTGGTTGACCATCCGTAAGCTGACCGCCGCCGACCCGGCTGATGCGAGGCAGCCGGCCCCGGCGCCGTGCAGAGTCCCACGTCCCTGAATCGAGACCCAAAGGGCGGTGCGCTGGGAGCTGCTGGTGCGCCTTGAACATCTTGATGGGGAGCCCATCGTGAAATGTTTCGGCGACGGTCGCGCAACACGTGGCGGGCGCCCCTTTCGGGGTCCAGTCCTTTTTTCGGCGGCAGCGGGAAGGCGCGGAGCGGGTGACCCCCTTGCCCGCGTGCATTCGCGCGGGGAGGTCGGCTGCCCCCATCCTCGCAGCCGCACCTGTTTGTGGCCCAGGGAGGTTTCCGCGATCGATGCAAGCGATCGCAAGCGACTGGCCGTCAATGGCCATCGGTGGGCTGGGGGGGAGGCGTATGAAAGTGACGGGGCATCGCGCCGATATGCGACCGGTAGTGGAGGGCCCCGACCTGATCCGGACAGCCAGCCGCCGCGCAAAGTCAACGGTGAAGAGTTAACGACCGACGGTTGTGGGCTAACGGTCAACGGCCCCGCCGCAAATTCCGTCTGAATTAGCAGCCTGCGGCCCGGCATCGCCACAGCGGATGCGCGGCGGACCCGCGCCAATGCCCTCTTCGCTCCCTTCCGCCCGGTGGCAGAGCGCCCCGACTTGCGCTCAACTTCCGGGGCCCCCCCATGGCTTGCTGCGCACGCCGTTGACAGCGTTTGCATTGCCAAAAACACGTCCTTGTTTAAACTTGCCTTTAAAAAGCGTATCATCGCGCTTGCGCCTCGCGGTCCGCACTTTGTGGGCGCCGACGGGCGTACCCCCATCCAACAGCGTTTCCCTGAAGTTTCCCGAGCGTTGTCCCTCGTATTCTGCCCCCCGCAGGCGGGCCCACTGAGTGCATGTTTTCTCGACTTTTGAGTTGCTTGTGTTGTGTGCTCCTCCTTTCGCATCGGAGGCTCTATATCAGTTTTTCACAGCAGGCAAAAGAGCCTCGCGCACACTTGCTTGGGAGGGGATGCCCTTTGTACAAAAAGTTTCTTTCTCTCGGTAACAAATCTTACACCCCCGCAGACGCTGTCCACGGAGCCGCTCTCCGAGCTGCGGGCTGGCATTGACGACCTGCGCGCTGCCCTGGCGGAGCAGGAGCAGGCCCTGCAGGGGCTGCGCTCCGATGTCGCCGACCTCCACTCCCTGATGGCCGCCCCAAATGCCGATCCGGCAATCCCAACACCGGATTCGAATGCCAGGCAGCCCGCGGCAGGCCGCGCACTTGGGGGCGCCGGTGCGCCCCAGGGGCTGCGCGGGTCATCAGAAAGCGCAGGCAATGTGGTCGATCTGAATCTCGGGCGCTCGATCGACGATCCCGGTGACATCCAATCTGGGGCGACCCACACCGGGGGGAAGTCGCTGTTGGCCAGCCTGTTGAGGAAGCGGCCGCTGGGGATGGGAGGGGCAGGGGCTGGGGGACAGGGCCTTGAATCGCAGAAGAAGGTCAGGCTCTTTGGGGAGCCCAAACTGGCACATCTGCCAGCTGGCTTTGCCTCTGGGGAACCTTGGGAAGTGTCCCCCAATGCGGTGCATAAAGGACTGAATGGATTAGATGGATTAAATCAGGCTGATCGGAACACTGAGGAATGGCGAAATCGGACTGCCGCGCGGGGCGTGGACAATTTGGGGTTGAGCCTGGAATTTGGCGAGTCTGGGAGGAACAATGGGGGTGGTTTGGCGGAGGGGCTGGGTGGGGGGAGGGACATGCAGGTGGATTTGCAGCCCGAGGCATTGCTCAGGCTGACCGTACTGGCAGAGCGCATGCAGCACGTGGTGCGCACCCTCGGCAAGCTGGACAGCACTGGCAGCTTGCTGCTGGACCACCAGGATGGGCTCAACAGGCTCGACCGCCTGCTGCGAGAGCACGAGGCCAGACTTGCCAAGCTGGCGGCCGGTGCCGGGGAGCAGTCGGCCGAGGGAGGATGGGAGGCTGGCGAGGGGCGTGGGGAGGAGTATGACCTGCACCCCCTGGAGGCTGGAGGTGTGCCTTGCGGTGCTGTGTACTGCACTTTGAGGGTAGTGGATGAATCGGAGGGCGAATGGCAGTGGTACCCCCCGCCCAGGCTGGGCTTGGAGGGGGATCTCACGGAGGCTGTGGATCCCGAAGGGATGCAGCTTGTTGTTTTGGATGATGCGGTGCACCAGGTGGTGCCCGTGGATTCGCCAGCTGATCAGGATCCGGCTCGGGCTGTGGCTGGAGCACGAGTAGGCAAGGCCAAGGAAGTTGGACAGCAGATGATGGGAGGTGGCCAGCTCAAAGGTGACATCCAAAGTTTGCAGGATGAACTGTGTCCGGCGCTGCCCATCGACTGGGCCGGCAGTCACAGCGCTGCCCCTGGCGTTGAAGAAGGTGAGTTGGCAACTGCACATCCAAAGTATCAGCCCCAGATGTGCTGTTTTGTATGCCAAATGGTGTGTACGAGCAGTGCATTGCATGCTGCATGTTTGCACTCGTGAGGGCCACAAGGCACCCTGAAACTTCTTGGCGATGGTGGGCGTGATTCAGTGCACAAAATTGACGCTGGATTTGTTTGTTCCTGAGTGGTCTGGTGTTGTGCACAGTGGCTAGCCGCTGACCTCTGACCTCAGGCTTTGTTCATTTTGTCTGTTTTCTTCCTTTCGTTCATTTTCGGTTTTTTCAGGTTCCTTTCAGCATTTGTCGTTCCTCTAGGTCCTGCTGGCACCCTGCCTTCTAGAGCCACCCCTGCACGTGTAACCACCACACCCCAGGGCAGTCGGGCAGTCGTTACCGACTCCGCTCACCTGGACACTGCAAGTGGCAGAAATGCTGCCCTGGGAGATGAGCAAGGAGGACCACCAGCGTCGCCTGGTGTGGTGGTCGATGCCGAGGAATGCACCCTGCATCGATTGAATTCCGGGAGAGCAGGCTCAATCGCCGACTCTGTGTTGGACATGGCCCTTAAAGCTGTGGATCGCTGGAAGGACTCTTCCTGGCCACATATAAGCGACAGGGAGGCCAATGACGGACAAGGCAGCTTTCCAAGAGAGGCTTCTGAGCCTGTTTGTGGCTCTGAAGGACGTGCTGGTATGCAGTATGCAACGAATGTATAATGAATGTGCGAATGTACAAGTATGAATGTGCCCATTGCAGCGTGGACGTTGGCTTGCTGGTGGTGGTGCACCACCCTGAATGCAGATCATCACAACTCATCAGTTTTCGTATCACTGTTCACAGACCTCACAATTCTTTGTGTGAATGAATGGCCCAACTCTGGCGTCAAAAGAGCACACAAGGTGTCCATTATTGGCATCCTGTGGCCAAGAAATTCATTACAAGTGGCAAAACTGTTCATTGGTAGCCAGCGCCTGTCGTCTCCTGGTGAGTGAATAGCCTGTGACATGTCATGTGCTTGGCAAATGTAGCCGTTGAGGTCATGTACACCCACACAGGTAGCGATGCAGATGCCAACGGTGATGTTGGCTATCAGTGCTGGGGACGCCAAGCGTCGCGGTTGTCACGTGTGCATTTGGCCGATTGTGGAAACAAGCATGAAGGATCGATTTCTGCCCAGAGTGGAATTGGCAGGCATGGGCCCATGCCTGCACACTGCAGCTACGTCACCAACGGACAGCACACTGCAGACTTGGCGCAGGCGGCGATCCCCCCAGAATATGCGTATTGCACCACCAGCAGTGGTCCGGACGGCTCAGTGGAAAGCCGCTGGCCTGCCCATGACTCCGGATCTTGCTGCAGCCAAGACGAGCCCCGCAGGAGCTCTGTGCGTTTCGCGGCGTTCGAGAATCCTCTGTACGTGGAGCTAACTGCTGGAGAGGCTTACCAGACGATCGTTGATGATGACGATGATGACTCTAGGTGGACTGGGTACCCCGAGTGCGGCCCAGTAACTCCACGGGTGGACCCTGAAGATGACAGCCCCATCTGGTACCCTGTGGATAATCCGCTGTTCACAGATCTCGACATGGACGACGAAGGAGATAACGAACTCGAGAATGTTGATTGCAAGTCGAATGTCCATGACCGGCCAATCGGATCAGCGATCCGAGCCGTGTCGATACACACAGTGGTGGCGGCCCTGGGGCACGCCCGGATCGAGGTTGGGGACGGGGCCTTGGGTGCATCGAGCCCAAGGGGCGCGGGGATGGGGGTGAGCATGCCAGATTCTTTGTCCAGCATGGACAGATGGCGGGGTGGGTGCGCCCATGGCAGAATTGTTGAGCGACCCTGAGGTGCAGGGACAGGAACAGGTGGCGTCGCCACTGGACGCTGGTTGCCGAAAACACCGCTGCCTCTGCAATGAGGCTGTCAAGGGGAGCATGCAATTCGTGTGCTGGGCGATTGCATTGGGTGTGGATGAGCTGAGCATGTGCGATTTCAGGGTGCTGAGGGCGCCTGGAGCGCCCATGAGACTGCAGCACCCGAATGTTGGTGTATGGGCCATATTTGATTTGCAGCTGTGCCTTGGACACTCGGAGGGGCACGGAATGCTTGATGGAGGGCCGTCCACGGGCGCCCAGCATTTCGTTTGCCTGTTCGTTTCAATGTGGGATTAGCTACACTGTGGCGCTGTTTGTGCCGCAGAACAGTGCTCGCTGAAGCTGTCTGCATGGTACTGGCGATTTTGAGATGGTCGGCTGCATGGGCTGGTCTCGGGGACGTTGGGTTGGGAAACTTCGATGCAGGTCGATTGCAATTTTTTGGGCTGCTGGAGGCCTGGATAGTTAAGAGGGGTTCGTTATTTCTGCTGGAAGGGTGGGTAGGGTGGGATGGCTGTGGCACATGTTGCTCAAAGCGCCGGCGCGCTTGCATGTGTCAGCGAGAATGGTGAGACCTCCTTAGCGAATAATGGGGATCGTCTCCACGATCCCCGTTCATAGATGCATGGCTCAGCTACCAGCGTGCCACTTGTGCCGAACTAAAAACGATGTGCGGCAAAGTTCATCTTTTCTTTAAACTCTCCTCCGGAGGGCTTCACGCTTCAGATAGGTGTGTTTGGGAAATTCACATTGATAGTCGCCTCGGCGCGAGTCCAGAAGGGGGATTCATCGGGGGCGGAATGGCGTAGTCGGGCAAGGGGCCTCCATGTAAATTTATGGCGGATTTAATTCACGGCGCGCTGGAAGCGCGCTGCCGGGACGTGGCAGGTGATGCTGAGCGGGGTCATGTGTGTGTTTTGATGCGGCAGGCGAACATTTCGAACATTCAGGCTTGCGGCCCCCAATGCTGCGATGCTGACGTCATGGGGACGTTGCGTTGCGTGACGTGCGTTACGTTGCGCGGCATTGCGTTATGTCACGTTGTGTTGCGGGCATCCTTGTGCGTATTGGCGCACTGCTTGGTGCGCCCCCTTGTCGTCCAGCGGGCCCTGGGGGGGCTTTGGCGCCGTGCAGGGGTTGCTTCAGTCCGGTTTGAGTATGGAGAGTGGTGAACCTGTTGTTGTGAATGGGTTTGTAAGAAAAAGGCAAGTTGGGAACAGGTGGGGCGAGGTCGCCCAATGAGTGGCGCTTCCAAGGCCAAGGAGCGAGTGGCTGCGAGGGATACCAGCCAATGAATGTTACTCCATCACTGAGCTTGTTGTTGCTGCTTAGCAGCAACAACATATTAGTAATCTAATTGATGATATTGTCCCTGGTTCGCGAAGACGCATCAAATGCGAATCGCTCCAGCACGCCAGACCCGTCATTGCCCCGTTGCGGACAATGTGCAGCTTTGAGCAAGAGCGCCCGGCATGGCGATGCCGATTTTCAAAGCAGAGGATGTGCGCGGCCCGTCCATCGCCTTCCAAGATGGCATCGCCTGCCAACGGGACTCGCGCATTTCCGCACGCGTTCTCGGCGTACCAAACTCGGCGTCGCAGCGTGTCGGAAACAGGCGAGGACGCGTCTCGCAAGATGCCATCAATCGAGGGCGCAGGCGCAGCCGATGGCATCAATCGAGGGCGCGGGCGCAGCCGATGGCATCAATGGCCCGCCAAGTCGTCGCGACCTTGTCGCGTGCCCTCTTGTGTTCTTCTCATAAGATGCCGTCAATCAAGGGCAAATGAGCAGCCCACGGCACCAATGACCCGCCAAGTCGCCACCTTGTCAAGTGCCGTCGTGGTGCCAGGCTGCGGCTGGGGTTGGCACGACGGGTCAGCCTGGCGCCAATGCACCGGTCAAGACGCCGCCTGATAAGCCACGGCCCGCAAATGCAATCAATCAACCCCAAATCAGCAGTGCGCCGGTGCCCTTACCCAACCCTCCTAAAACCCTTACATAAAACGCGAAAGGGCCCCTGTCGCGGCGGCCCGTCGGGCCCAGGGGTCCCCTGATGCCCCAGCAACGCGGCTGCTTGACACGACCGGCCGCCCCACCCGCCGGCGGTACTGCGGGACTCACGGTTGCCGCCGCGCCCCCCCCGCATGACACAGCGCCTCCCAGCCCGCCCTGGAGCACGGCCACCAGGCAGCGGTTCCGCGAGCCGGAGCTGGAAACAACAGCCCGCCCGCACACGCTCTACGCTTGGGCCCACCCATTGCCAACCGCCAGCTTGCGCGTTTTTTCCGCAGCAGGAGGACGCTTCCCCTCCCGCGTTTCGTGACGGGCGGCTGGCAGCAGCCCCAGCGATGAAGGCCCTCGATGGCGGCCAATGAGATGCGATCTTGGGGCTGGCTCGCTGGGTTGGTTGCCCTCGGTCTGGCTGCGTGCCTGGCGACGGCCCAGGAGCGGGCGGCCGCCGCAGAGACAAATCTCAGCGCGTCCACGCTACCGGAGCTGTTGGCCGCGATGCTGAGCGCCAACCGGGCAAAGGGGCCGGTCTCGATCGCCCTGTCCGGGGACATATACCTGGACCCCGACCTGCTGTGGACGGTGCCAGAGTTGAGGGTGGACGTCGCGCTGCGGGGCGGGCGGCTGCTGGTGGACGACGTGCTGGCGGTTTGCTCCCTCGGGACCAATGTCACGCTGACCCTGGAGGGCGTGGCGCTGCGCTACCGGCGGCTGGTGGGCCTGGGCACGATGTTCGTGGGCGTGGTTGGGCTGGGGCGCAGCGGCAGGCTGGCGATGCGCAACGTCACGGCGGAGGTGACGCCGAGGTCGTTCGGGCACATTGAGGCCAACCTGGGCGGGGAGTACCCGGCCGGGAGGGCGGAGGGGATCGAAAAGCTGCCGATGGGGCGGGGCTTCAGCGTGGCTTCGCTGACCATGGGGAGGGTGACAGTGCTGGAGTCCGTTTTCCGGGCGACTGACGAGTCGGTGGCCGTCTGGCCGGAGGCCTACGAGCAGCAGGTGTTCCGGGCCTCGCAGCTGGTGCACCAGCTGCGCAAGGCGCAGACGCCGGACCCCTTGCGCCCCTTCCGCCTCACGCTGGCGCGGACGATGTCGCTGGCGCTGGAGGACGTGCCGGAGGGGCCCATCCAGCTGAGGCGCAAGGTGGTGATCCGGGGGCCGGGCGAGGAGGGCGTCGGCCTGTACCTCTTCGCGGACCTGCAGGGCGGTAAACTGCTCAACGTGTCGCAGGGCGGCATGCTGGTCTTCCAGGACCTGACGTACGACTACCAGGCGGCCGTGCCGCCCACATCCCAGTTCGGCGCGTGCACAAACCTCTCCTGCATCGACACCGACACCATGCTGCCCTTCACCTACGACCAGTCCTCCGCGGTCTGCAGCTACGTGTCCATCAACACGTCCATGCACACGTGGTGCCCGTTCGTCACGGGCCTGGCCAAGTGGCTCTTCCTGCGGCAGACGAGCCCTGGAACGGACACCACCTCGAGTGTCGTGCACCTCCCGGGAGTTGCCGAGCTGGCGGAGTTCAAGGCCGGGGACACGGAGTCGTTCAGCCTGGCGTCGTTCATAGGCTCCGGGACCTGCGTGCACAACTCGGAGATCACGTGCAGCGAGGCGGAAATCGACCAGTCGGCGGGGATCCTAAAACCTCCTCGGGGGGAGGGCAAGCGGCCGGAGCTGAAGGACAAGCCGGAGAAGTTCAAGGGCGAGGCGCGGACGGGGACGCCCCAGGGCATCGGCGTGGGGGTGGCCACGGCGATCGGCCTGGTGGGCGTGGTGCTGCTGTCCGTGACGGTGTTCGTCTTCGCGGTCGTGCTGCGGAGGCGGATCGGCAAGCGCGGGCTGGATTCCGAGGACGGGCGGTGGATGGATCAGCCCCTGGCAGGGGGGAGTTCCACGTGTGAGAGCGAGGGCTCAAGCGGAAGCCCGGGGCAGAAGAGCGCGAATCATGCGCTTCAAGAAGCGCCCGCCCCCGCGCCGGTGCCCATGGTTGAGGTGGATGTGGAGGAGAGGGGGGCGGGCGGGGGGGAGGGGTCGGTGTCCATGGACCCGTCGTCGGTGAGCGGGGGCACGCTGATGGAGAGGAAGTGGCGGGAGCTGAAGGAGGAGATGCACAAGATGAACGACGACTCGGTGCAGCTGCAGGAGCAGATTGGGTCGGGTGAGTGGGGTGGGGGGAGGCTGTCGTTGTTCATTGCGGCATGCATGGCTATTGAATCAGGTCAGGCGGTGGGGGGAGGTGGGCGTGCGTGGCCAGCCAGGATGTCTTTTGGGGGGATGTGGTTCTGCAGAGGCGTTTGGCACGTTGGTTCAATGGGAGTGGTGAGCGTGTGCTGTGGCACTGCGCTCAACGTAGATTGTGCCACGCAAGTCGCGCTTTTGCAGATGACATTGGAGCGGGCTGTCACACCCTCTTTGGCACCTTCATCCTGGCAATCAGTTTTGCAGGGGCATCTTGGTGACTGACGTTGTCCAGAAATAGTCCCGCCTGGGCATGCAATCCCTGCGCTCCCCTTGCAATAGCCCAAAGTACCAACCACTGATGTTGGTCCGCGGATTGATGTTGTTGGTGGTTTCATTTCGGGGCAACTGGACACTGGCTGCCAGCAGGCATGGGAACGTGCACTGGGCAGCTGGGTTTTTGATTTGTCAGCAACTATGCGTCAGGTCCTGGCCAAGCTGGCCATCGTTTCCTGGTTTCTTGCTCACTGCCCTTCTTTTTGCTGGGAGGGCTGTCGCTGGGTTGGACACCATCAGGAGGATATGAATGGAAAGTACATGTGCATGTGCTTGTGCTTGTACAGTGCTGTTGACCACAGATGCTGGTTTGGACTCGCATGTTGTCACCCTTCCTCAACTTTGCCCTGCTTGCCTCCCCAGCCCCAACGTGTTCCACGTGCTGCCTGCACTGAGCAGCCCAAGAACATGCCGCAGTGGCCACTGACCCGCCTGGTTTGTTTGCACCAGGCGGATACGGAGTTGTGTACAAGGGCGTCTGGCGGGGCCTGCCGGTCGCCATCAAGACTGTCATGTTCCAGGACCTGGAGGGCCGGGACTCCAAGGCGCGCCGGCGCGCTGTGTACGAGGCGGCCATCAGCTCCAGCGTTGTCTACCCCAACGTTGTGCAGACCTACTCCTACTTCTTCCGACGCCTCACCGCCAAGCGCGACAGCAGCTCCACCTCTGTCAACCGCTGCGTAGACTGGAAGCTGTACATCGTGCAGGAGTTTTGCCAGCTGGGCTCCCTTCTGAGGTCTCTGAAGCGGGGCCAGTTCGTGGACCTGGCCACCAAGGCGCCGGACATGGAGGCCATCGTGGAGGTTGCCCTTGGGGTGGCGCGGGGCATGAAGCACATCCATGACCATGACATCATCCATGGGGACCTCACTGCCAGGAACGTGCTCCTGCAGAGTGAGAGGTCGGGGTCGGGCTACGTGGCCAAGGTGTCAGACTTCGGCCTGAGCGTGAAACTGGAGCGGTACCAGAATCATATCTCAGAGCACTATGCGGGCACGCCGTTGTACATGGCACCCGAGCTGGGGATGCACGGCCGGCTGTCAAAGGCAGCAGATGTCTACTCTTTTGGGATCATGCTGTGGGAGCTGTTCCACCTTTCCCTGCCATCTCCAGTTTCCTTCTCCAAGGTAGCCGCCTGTCGGAAGGGGCCCCCACGGTTCTCCCCACTGTGCCCTATGCCCTACGCCCTCCTGTGCGCAGTGTGCCTCTCGCCGCACCCCTCAGATCGCCCCGATTTCGAACAGATCGAAGAGATCCTGGAGAGGCAGCTGGCGATGATACGGACGCTGCGCTTTCCCAAGCGGGAGGACGTCGAGGCATTCAACTCCGAGTGGGCGAAGGGCATCATGGGGTTCAGGCCGCGCGAGGCGCTCGCGTACATGATGTGCAACTTGCCTGCTGTGGACCCCGCTGACACTGAGAAGCTGTCGACGGTGGACCCCACCGACACTGAGAAGCTGTCGACGGTGGAGGAGGAGAGCGCAGGCGCGGGGCAGACGGCTTCCACAATCGTGCTCAGCACCTCTGACGAAGAGGCAGAGATGGAACCCCGCCCGCTGATCCCCACCCCAAGATCTGAAGAGGAGCCTTACTACACGCAGGATCCAAGCCGCAGCCATGACCCAAGCCACAGCCGCAGTTTAGAGTTGGCGGATACGCCAGTGGAGGAAGCGCCCCGCGCAAGGCGGGAACCTGCATTCTTCACTGGGCTGGACAGTGGGGAGATTCAGATCGAATTGGTGCCGGGCGGTGAGCCCAAACAAGATGGTGCTGAGCATCACCAGCTGCGCAGGAGGCAGGTGGTGGTGTCGTGCGACAGTGACAGGGACCGTAGCGGCAGCTTTGGCAGCTCCTGCACCATTGAACCGAGCTACTCGTGTGACGAACAGTTCATGAGCGTTGGGTGGGATTCCCGGCTGCAGGGGCAGGGCCAGGTGGACAAGGGCCTGAACCCAATGGGCTTGCTGAACTACAGGCAGGTGGCGAATTGCACAAGGTCCTGCGAGAGGACAGCCCTATCTCAACGGGGTTCTGGGGAGGAGCTGTCACAGGATAGTCACAGGAAAGTTGCGCATTTCACAGGTCGGACCACTGAAGACTCGGATTATTTCTCTGTTTAGGCAGCCAGCATCGCTTTGTAACAACACGTTTTGGCGTCCACTCAAAGAACTGGACATCGGCAGGCGAGGGTGACAGAACCATGAGGAAGAGAGTGCTTCCACCAAGGAACTTGTGTAGCAGCCTCGTGTCCGTAGGAATTGGGAGGGCTGGAGGTTTGCAGGTTTTGAATGAACTGTGGATCTGGTGTCAAAGAGGGCTGGAACAGGTCTTCCGCAGTGGCCCAGCGTATGGGTGCTTGCGCTGTGTTGAAGGGGAGAAGTCCATCGCCGTGAGGGTGGCTCGGGTGCTTCAGCTCTGCCTGAGCGGATGGCATGGCTGCAAAACTTTGGGTGCCTTGCTTGAGAGGGGGAATGGCAAAAACGGCAAGTGACAAGGTGGAGAAAAGTTGGGAGGAACATGAAGCATCGCTGAAAGCATTGGCAGCTTGCGAGTTTTCTGTGTATCACTGTGGTATGGCACCAATGCCAGTACAGGAGAGGATGATGGCATCGACCTCTCGAAATTGGATGCTGTGCCTGTGTTGGATGCCACGTCGATTGCCACTTGGGGCTGCTCCAATTGCGATGGTTTGCTGGCGCAGTCCTAACCTTTAGAATGAAAAGCTGGGGTCTATGGCAGGATGGTACTGGCAGGTGCATGGCTGGCTACTTGTCCCGGGGTGTTGTCACTGTACCATCTCTCCCCCTTGATTGCTTGAACCCACGGGAAGGGAAGGCATGCGGCGTTCCCCTTAAAGCAGGGCAAAGGCATTGTTGAGCGAGCTAGCTGGGTGGCGACGTGCAGCTCTTGGCTCGAATGCGCCCATAGGAGCAAAGAGGCTCTTTCAGATGTGGAAAGGACAGAAAGTAGTGGAAGAAGAATGCCAAGGCTCTGGAGACAGGGCTCATGGGGTGCCAGCTGCCCTGTGATGCGATTTGCTGCGGGTGTCACGCGATCCTGTGCAGAATCGCAGTTTCGCATAGCGCATTGCGCCTGGGGCTGGCTGTGTCCGTTTGTGAGGCAGAGCAGCAAGGCGTGGGACGACGCGGAGCTGGACAAGACACAAAGAAGGTGGCATAAGGGTGGTTTGGTAACTGCTGGCTGCGGCTTGTGGGGTAGGCAAGCAGTAGCCTGCCAGCAGAGAATGGTCACCTTCGCATGCATCAATGATTCAAGAAACCACAGATTTTCCTGTTGGGGACGTCCATTGGCTTGGACAGCACTGCCAGGTAGACCATGACATGGAGGACTACCGTTCTGCCCACACACAACAGCGACTGCTGGCTAGCGACCCCCAGCCCATCACCTCATGTCCTGAGTCTGCTTCCTTGTATGCCATAGGGACCCACGCTCTCTCCTAGACCCAGGATAGGCTGGCCGGAAACCGTTAACGGTGGTAACTTTGCTACCACGAGATAGCTGAGCTGTTACTGTCATGTACGCCTCCGTGTGCTGTTGGGATGCATGTGGAAGGCAAGGACAGTGGCGGTCTAAAATCGGAACCTATTCAGGGGCCAATAATTCGATGGGTGTGAGTGGTGGGGCGTGGGGGCCAGTGCCCTAATAAGCTGACCTTGGGTGAGGTTAGTGTCGACGGAGCACCCTAAGTTGTGTTGTGCTGCGGGGGAAATGCCCTGGGATTGTCGCCAGCCTGGGTGTGGTGTGTGGTGTGACCGGAGCAATCAGCTGACAGTCCTTTGAGTACAATAGGGGTCTCGTGGTGGCTTCTCTGCTTGCATCGAACTCAATTTTACCAAATTGTAATTTTCCTTTGAAGTGTCAGGTTTTGCTGCTCAGAGCGCTTCTGGGCTTCATGCTGGCCTGTATTCCACTGGGAAGGAAGCTGGGGTCTTGCAATGCGCAACATTTGATCACAGCCCCATTATGGAGACGCTGGAAAGATTCCATTTGTAGCACATGGGCAAAGCCGGGGGCCTTTGTCATGCCGGCAATGAAATGAACGAATGAACATCTTGGTGACATCTATGTACGTCTTTTCTTCATTCTTTCACTTGATGATGCCCAGAACACGCGAGTGCGACCAGGTACATCGCCTGCGTTGCGGGGCACCCCCGCACGGACACGCGGCCATGGCGGAATGAAGCGCCAAATGGCCTTCCGGCTGCCCCCAGACGCGCCACAACGCCGAGCCCAGACCGGCTGGCACCCGCGCCACCCGCGTCAAGCATCTCGAACAAAGCGACCGGAGACGCCTAGCTCCGTCCCAGTCACCGCTTCCCTCCTCCGTATCCCCCCCCCCCCTCCCTTTCCGCTACCTTCCCTGTTTCCTTCCCTTGCCGATCGGCCTGCACAGAATTGCGCCTGCCCGCATGCCATGGCCTCAGACACCCGGCTGAAGCACCGCGGCTGCGAGCTGTGCGGCGCAGCGCACCGCCCCTTCCAGTGCGCGGACTGCGTCAACAAAAAGGTGTTGGGGGAGGCCAAGAAGTCGCTGCTGGCGCTGATGAGGCGCCGGGACGGGATGCTGTCGAGGCTCAACGCGGAGATAAGGCGACAGGTGTGTGTGTCTGCGTGCGTGACGAGATGTGTATTAAAACAGAGAAACCCTAAACGTAAGAAAACATAACACAGGCCATACAATGGAGCACCCCCCCCTCCAGCCGTGTGTGTGTGCGTGTGTGTGTGTGTGGTGTGAGTGAGTGGGGTTGGTGGAGAGGGGGCGAAGGGAGGGGGATGATGACAGTGAGTGGAGAGCCGCGTTGATTGGGCTTGTTCAAGCAGTGCAATTTCACGCCCTTCGCCTCTCGTGCGCGCTTTCGCTGGGTGTCCTTGAAAGCGGGGGTGGGGTGAGCGGGGGGAAAATGGCGACCGGTGTTGAAGCGTGCGCGACAGCGGGTTGAGCGATTGGGTTGAGCGATGTTCCAACCTGGTGTCGGGGCCGCGGCAGCAGTGGTCGCCGGGGCGTGTGGACGTCGGGAGAAGGGGGGGGATTCGCTGCCCGATTGCAGTGGGCAATGGTTGCTGCGCATGGTGGAGAAGTCAGGCGAAACAGTGGGCCGTCCTGCCTTCAAGGACCCTTGTCTTGTTGCTGGAAAGGGAGCAGGTGCTGCTCTTTCCAGATTGGAACTTGACGTACACCTGAATCCTCTGATTCCTACTGTGGAAGGAACATCACAGGAAACTGCATTTGCAGCTGTAGGGTGGTTCAATCTGGCATTTGATTTCTCACAATGCGCTGTTTGGTTGTTTCCATTGGTTCGTACGGAAGACTCCAAGCAGGCACATCGCTGCACGTATTGTTGATCAGAATGCAGAGGCTGAACTCTGAAAAGCGGCATGCCACCACCCCAGAGTGATCTCCAGTGGGTAGAAAAGTTGGAACTTGATCCTCTGAATTGGGCCAGCACTGTGCACGCAAGAACGAAAGGAGTGGTGGCACGGATTCAACCTTGTTACCCCATCGACACTCCACTCTTGGCTCGTTCAATGACCACAGGCCTGATTTGGGGAACAGGGGACAGCCGTAGGAAGGGTAGGAAGGGTGGGAGGGGGGGCTGAGGGACTGGCAAGCCAGGACGAATATTAGGACATGTTATGTGGGCTGCGATGGCAAGCTGGCAGCAAGAACTGAACACAGGTTGGTGGTTGTTTCTCCCCCAAGTTGGAAACAAGGCCACACAACTAGTTGGGACACTCTGGGGAGAAATGCAGTCCACGGGATGGGCTCTGTGGTCCAAGCCAGGAAGTTGAAACACATCGAGTGGTGGGGAGTGTCTTGAGTGGTGGAACCAAGGACGTCACCGCTTTCTGTGTCAGCCCCCTGCATGCACACAGCGCTGAGGTTGAGCTTTGTTCGATGCCAAATCTTTGCGTCGCACTCCAGAGCTCTCTTGTGCCGCAGATGCTGTGTCAACCAAGCTGCCAAAGTAAGGAAACGTGTGTCACACAGTGGGGCTTCCCGCTCTGTCAAATGTTTTGGAGATTCTTTGCCAGCTGTATGTTGGAGCCTGAGCTTCAGGTGCACTAGGAGAAACATGCAACACTGAGCAGCGCAAACATCAACAATGGACGAGGACATTAACAATCAGTTGCAGCTGTGGGCAAGGTCCCAGCATCTCCCGCATGGTGCAAGGCCTTCGGCTTGTCAAGATTGAAACAAATCCAATTCACCAGTTCTCAAACTGTGCTCAGACACGATCTGGTGCAGAGCCAACAACTTTGAACACACCAGTTCACGAAATAGGAAGAACACAGACTTGGCCAGTGGGCTGGGCAAGCAGCTTTCACGTAAGCTGGATTCTGCTTTTCAGAATGGGAAACCTTCTTGACCATTTTTGGTCCTTTTGTTGACCCCTAGACTAATGTCGAACCCCTCAGCCGCTGTAAACTATTTGAACCTCTGTTTGACCCTCGGTGCATGCAGCACACCCTGCCTTGATCGTGACGTAAACACCATTCCTTGCAATTTTTAGAGAAGTGACAAATCATGGTTTTCACCGATGAAGGTTTTTGTGGGTGCTGTCCACAGCTGCAAATTGCAGTTCCCACGATTTCATGTTCCCATTCACCATAGAAGACCTTGAACCTTTGAACCCGGTTCTTGGACTGATTCCTTTGTGGCTGCATCAGGAGGTACGTCAACAACAGGAAGCACAGAGGCAGCTGCGTCTGCTAGAATTGCAACACGTCACCAACAGGGCCAGGGCAGCTGAAAAGAATTTGAAGCATGGTGCGTGGGCCAATCTGGTATGCTCCTCAAGCATTGGGAGACCCTGACAGATGTGGTTGTGTCTGCTTTTTTTTGTGATGCAGAATGTACAGCATGCACGCCTGGTGTCCCTTGTAGTCTTCAGAATGGCGTCCCAGATGCCATATGTGTGAATTGCCGAAGCCCAACATCTCTTCTGCTTGGATGGGCCTGGCACTTGGACTCCTACGTGCGGTGTAATATTCTGACGTACTGTTGGACTGATTCGGAAAAATGCTGAGCAAAAATTGCCAGATGTGTTCTCTACATTTCAAAGCCGAAATCAGACCTGGTGGTGAGGATGCGAACCATTTTTGATTCATGCAGAGGCAGAAACACATGTGACGATGTGTATTGTGGTGACTGTGCGATTATCTGTTGGGCACTGTCAAATGAGTGAAGCTGTCCTGTGGAACTGAACAACTATGTTGGTGCAAATGCGCTTATCCGACATGCCCACAATCGCCTTGATATGCAAATGCGGTGTGTTGCCAGATTCTGGCAAGGAAGAAAACTGTGTTGGCCCCATTCTTGTCGTTGCCCTTTGAGCGGGAGATCCCCTGGTGGTTGATGTTGCCTCCCTCCTTGCCTTGATATTGGTTATGCATTGCTTGGTGCGGTCACTGTTTGTTTGTTTCGATGATTGGTTGATAGCCATCCTGCCTGGCTGAATGATTGAGCAACTGCATTGTTGGGTGATTGGCTGCTTGGCTAATCCCCCATTTATCCACTTTGTTACCCCAGTCAAGGCTGCCGTGGCTGACCTTCGCTGCAGCAGCAAAGCACGAAGGGCCAGCCTGGACGAAGCTGCCTCCCAGCTGCTTGACAAGCGCAAGGACAAGCTGCAGCGCTACTTTCCCACCCATGCCCGTGTGACACACCTCACATTCAGCTGCCTGCAGTGCTCCCTCGAAGAGGAGTGGAGTGCAAAGGTGTGGCTTAGAGAGGAAGTACTGCCGTATACAGACTCCATGTGTTGGGAGGCCACGCTGCGCAATCTTGCAGTCGGATTGGAGATCACATCTTTCAAAAGATTCATTTTGAGCAGTAAATAGCCTTTTTAATAGTTTGACTGAGTGTCTTTAATATAGCAGTGAAGTCTAATCTAGAAACTGAAACCTGCCAGTGCCCTGTGCTGTACAGAACAGTACAATTTAATTTTGATTGTACAGTACAGCAAAAGTGCTTTGTACTGTGGCCAAGGTTCGACAGCTGCTGGAGGTGCTGCCTTTGAGGATCAGCGCACTGAAGTCGGGGCCGAACACACCGCTCCAGGTCACTGTGTGCGACCTGCAGCTGCCGCATGGGTCGGTTATCCCATCGGATTTGAATCAGAAGTCAGAGGCAAGTCCAACTTCAATCGCACAAGTGGCCGCCCCCTTGATTCTAAGATTGTTTTCTTAACAAGAGTGAAACATGTTTGGATTCCAATATGTTGCATCACATTTTAGAACCCATGTCCTGGCCCCATCTTCTAGTGGGGCGGGGGCAGCACCTGCACTCTGAAATGCTATGTGGTACTTTGGAATCAGAAACAGGCAGTCGAAACACGTGCGATGGGCAGCTGCATTGCACGCGAGATTTGTGAAGCGGAAATGCTGTTCACACTGATGGTTGCATTATAATGGGGAACTATCACTATCGCTTTTATGTAAAACAACATTTGATTTGGCATGTGCGATGTTGACATGTGTGCACATGTGCACATGTGGCTGTGACTAATTTTGCTCTTGTTCTCATTCCAAGATGATGCACGTGTCTCTATGTGCACTGGGAACAATGCACAACAGAGAAGCGATCCTTGATTTTCTGGGAATCGTTTGTGTGTGGTGGATGTATGAATGTGTTGCAGGGATTTTGTGTGATAACTCGTTTGCATACAGTAACATGCATCCAATAACATTGGAAATGCCACCAAGTTATACTGTGTCTAGACAACCGATGAATAACCACTATTTTGGCAATTCAGCAATTTTCACACTGGGAATGAAATTATGCACAATGACCAGTTTGGCCAGATGTGCCAGTGGGGGGATGGAACCAATCACAACAGAGTTCTGAGCTGTACTAAAACTTTTACCCTCAAAGAGTGTCGGCAGCCTCTGCCATGTGTGTTTACCAGCGAAGCTCACCATGTCACTCTCACTCCTACATTCTTGATAGTGCTTGTTGAAGAGGAAAGAATGGAGCCAGAATTTGTTTCTTTTTTCACTTGTTCTATTCCATCAGTAAATTATGCGTTTGTCGCAGATGTAGCATCAAATTGCTTCCAGACGGGGAATCCTGGACTCTCATTTTCAGCCCATAGCTGCCTTGCTTGGTCCCTTACCATGGCACTTGCATGGGCACCCTTCCCTTGTTCTGGTGTTACTGTTTTATCTTGGGGCACACTGTAGAGGTTGCTAAGACACCCGCTGCATCGTTTTCAAATAACCCTGTTGCTCCCTGGGACAGTAGTGTGCCAAAGTGCTCGGTATTGTAACTACTCAGCAGGACATCAATCCTGGGGTCGTTGCCAAGAAAAGGACGTCCATGGGAGGCCAAGAGACCCCTCTCTTTACCAGCCCAGAGCTGCATCACCTGCTCCCTGCTGGACTTTTGGCACCATCTTGAGTACTCATTTCCACAGGGACTGGGCTTCTCTGGGCCTTTGTCGATTTCTTCACAACCACTTGGCCTTATGGCAACTCTGTGTGCTTGTTTTCGTGCAGGAGCTTGACGCTGCCCTTGGCTACACCCTCGTCCTGTTGGAACTGCTGGGCATGTACATCGGCACGCCTGTGCTCCATCAGTCAAGCTTCAACGGCTCGTGCTCGTCCCTCTGGCGGCCAAGGTCGTTCTCAGACCGCAGACCGATCTCGACTGGAGACGTTCTGCCACTGCACTTGGGAAGAACTGCCACAGCTCAGCTGTCAGCAAGCGCCTGGTGAGCTAATTCTGCAGCACCATAAACCATCATTCTTTGTCAACAGCATGGTGGCTGCTCACAATCTGTCAAATGTGAATGTTGGTGACAACTGAGAATTTTGGAAGTTGAGTTTGAGATTTGAAAATGGCAAGAAACCCACATTGACAAGGTAAATCTGCTGTCCTTTGGCTGAAAACAATGTCTTGTGTGTGTGCCTTCTGTCCTGCAGCCAAAAGTAGTGTTTGCCTGTGTGTGTTTTTAAGGCCCTCAAGCTCTTCAGTCGATCAGACCTTGCCCCATCGGCAGCACCAGGCGGAAGCTGCGATGCACATGCTGCAAAGGAGCATTGGTGCCTTTGCCATTGACCAGTTGGGGCCATTGGGAGCGAAGCCGCCCAAGGCGTGGAGCCCCTTTGTCACCCTGGCATGGATATGCTCAAAGGTATGTGTCATGTTGGCAGGCTTGTATGTGTCTGTGCTGTCCTCTATTCAGAATAAAATGTCGTATTACAAGATCAAGTGAGCCCTGACATTGACTTTTTTGCAGAGGCTGGCAGCACTAGCAGAGAATTGACAATACCCTGCCGTTTTGGTACGATTGAAGCAATCTTGGTTATTCGTTAGTTAATTGATGGTTGGTAAATTCATTGTTGATTATGTTACCCACTGAAGATTGTGCATCAACGCGCTCCCACGTACTGCAAGGGGACCACATCATGTGTTTTTGACAGTGTTATTGTGCTTTCCTTGTTGCCAGTTTAGCACATTGGCGGTCCACCACTATTCTGTCTTGTCTCTTAGAGAAAGGCACAATACATCAACAATGAGACAAGGCACTGAGACTGATACCTGACTTTGCAAGTGCGATGTCAAAGTTGGATAGACTGCTCCAAGTTTGATATTGCATTTGTGTAGTCGGGAGCTGGTTCCAGTGCCTTGACAGGCTCAGGCGCAGACAGTGCATGGCCCCAGTGACACCTGTTTGCATTTCTCAATTCCAAACTTTGCATCGCACTGTCAATGCATGGGCCCAGTGACACCTGTTTGCATTTATCAATTCCAAACTTTGCATCGCACTGTCAATTCTCTGCAGTGCACTTCCAAGCTCAAATTCCATCCCTTAGGTTTGAAGGGTTTCAACTTGGGCCCCAGTGAAACTGTGGAACGTAGGCTGTGAACTTTGGTTCAGGGAATGATTTGGCCACACAAGTTTTTGCTGTCATGGGGCAATTATTTGGTTTGCAGAATGGCACTGTATCCATTCGGGGTGCGCGCAACAAAAACAGTGGAATGGACACATGCCAGCTTGCACGGGAGAGACTCCCAAAAGTCTGCTCACATCCGTGGCCTTCAAAACACGATCTCCTACACAAACTACACCGATCGCCAGCTCAAAATTCGCTTTCAACAGCCATCACCTTCCATCGCCACATTCATTGGTGCAGGCACACAGTTCAATACTCAAGCAGGCCGGGCACCCACTAATTCACCCAGTCACAGTGCGTTCAGGCTATGTTGTGGCGCTGCCGCCACCCATTGCCAGTCTCACTGGCTACATACAGCTATTGCTCAGGGTAGGCACCAGAGACGGACACTGAAGGAGAGCTATGCTTTGGGGTTAGGGTGGCAGCGGGGGATGGGGGGCCCCAGCTATTGCTGGACCCCGTTGCAGGACACAGAAAAGGATTCTAGCTGATTTTAAGCCTTGTGAACAGGAGCCAGTGAGTCCATCAGTGTAGGTGCAGCGATTTGGGAGCAATGCAGTCGTGCGCATGCAGCTAGGAGTCACAGATGCTGTGTGCAGGCAGCAATGTGTGTTGTGTTGGAGGTGTTGTCTTTTGCTTCTTCCGTTCTGGAAGTTATGCAACATTCAAGGGTCCACAACATTGCACTTTGTGTTCATTTTATTCTTGCCTGTCTTCAAGCAGATGGCGAGGGATTCGCTGCGGGCGGCGATACAGCAGCTTGGCAGCCCTGGCTCCCAGGACGGTAAGCCAGACAGCAACGGGATTGGGCTAGAGGCCAAGGGGGCGTCAAGAATTGGGAGCTTGGAGATCGCGGGACTTCTGCTTCCAGGTACCATGCCCCTTGTTCTTTTAGGCTCATCTCTTCTTGTGCTGCATGGTGTGCACACTGTGTTGCTGAACACTTGGTTTAGGGGCGGCTGATCAGCAGAGAAGAGAATTGTTTTATGTACACAAGTGCATATCAAAGAAAAATGCTTGTGTGTGTGCCTGCCCAAGGGAGGCAGCCGCAGCCAATCGCAGACACGGTTTCATCAAATCCCAGGCAACACGTGGAACAGACCACTTCATGGCATGACACGTGCCGTCAATGAACTTAGACCATCAGTCAGTCTGTCAGTTGTGTGCAAAGCTCAATCTTGTCAGAAGAATAAAATGCGGTATCTCGCGTTTAGATTTGAAAGTCGCCATTTCATTACCAAAACGTTTATTGAAACGCACATGGCCAGCTCAGATGTCCCATCGCTTGCCAGATGAAGATGACGATCTGGTGGACGCTGACGGATGGTACACAGTTCCCGGAACCTTTCTACCACCACCACCTTCCCAACCAGATGACGTGGAACACTGGACGCAGGCCATGCTGTCCGAACACAAGGGCGGCTGGCAGCAGGCCCTTGGGCTCAATGTGCTGCGCGCATGGCCAGGGAAGCCAGGGGCATGGCTTGGTGGATGAGCATGCACATCGCCGTTATGCATGTGCTGCCGCCGTTTTCCAGGCGAACAAAGGGCTGAGACGCTGGGGAAAGCCCGACATTGCTAACAGGCAAAGGGGCATTGACAACCGCAGATTGGGCAAAGGTGTGGTGGGGTGCTGCAGAGAAGAACACCAACTTGGGTGTGAGAAATGGGCTTGGAGTTGTTTGCATTTTGGATGGCAACACAAGGCCACCCTTTCTGGTGTATGATGCCATTCTGGCAATGGCACAGCACAGTGTCTGTGCGGTAATGCCCTGAATGTCCTTATTGGACAGCGATTTTTCTTGTTGCCACATGTTGGGCATATGGGACAACTGTCTGCCAGGGTGTTGCACCTCTTGGCTGTGGCACAGCAAGAGGCTGCTTCAGGCAAATTTTGCTTTGGCTGCATCACTTAGTAAGAGAGGGTTTGCAGATTTGAATAAGTGGGGAAACGGTGATTGCATTGAATTGAATTGCATCATGGTGCAGACATGCCAGGTGGTGGGTTGCTTTGCTGCACGTAGACGGTTCGATGCGAGTGGGCGGGAACAAGCAGGGAGGCTGAATTTATTCTTTATTGGTGTGGGTGGGCGGAGTGGCGTGGTTCCACTTCGTTTCCGACAAATTTCGTTGGATTGACATTACAAAACCGGGATCTGTTTGGAATTTTCACATTGAACGCCCTGCATCCTGTGCACGGAAAACTCGCAACACACTCATAGATGATGATAATACTGTGTACTTTTGTGATCCACTGTGCCGCCACGGGCACAAGATGGAATTGGAAATGTATGTACGAGGTTTGTTCTAGATGCGCTTCCTGGTGGGCTGCTGGTGGGCTGTGGACGTGGCCCCCCTTTCCTTGAAATGTAATATTAAAGTAACCAGCACAGCGTCTGCTGCTGCTAGACAGTTAAACCACAGACCTGTATAGTGCAGATTGGAGTATGACGGCCTGTGTTGCTTTGGCATGAAGCAGTGGTGTGGGGCGCGTAAGCGCCCATCTGGGTGGATTGAGGAGTCAAGAGACCTTACACTGTGGACCAGTTCACCTTTGAATGTTATTGGAGCCAATTTGCCTTGAGGAAAGGGGAGGATGGTAATAGCATCAACAGAAGTGGTTGCAAACGTGCTGACTTGCGTCGGTATGTTTAGTGTCGACTGAGCTTGACCACAGTCACAGTGGGGGAGGGTGTTTAGTGGATTTGGGCTGCAGGTACAAGATGACCCTTCCAGTGGGCTGATGATCAAGTTCATTAATCCTGCACACTGATTATCAGTTAGACTGGGTGAAAGACTTATCACTCGCCAAAGGTGCTTCATTATCTGTACAGTTTTTGCCAGTCTCCAGCATGGTTTTAAATCGTTAGGGAGGTGATAACCGCGATTTGATAGTTATCTGTGGTAAGAATGCAGCGTCTTAGTGCTGGCCTGAGTTCCCAGATCTCAGGGAATTCCAACTCGTCTGACCCATTGGAGCCCTGCGTTGTGTCTTCCTTGCAGGACTTGTGATTAGTATTGAAACACAGCATTTCATACTCACTTCACGGGATTTGCGCCTCCCATCAGGGCGTGCAAGTGCATTGTTGCGCCTTTGGCATTTGCAATGGTCCCCTAGCATATTTGTGCTCTGAACATCAGTGCATTTGGGGATCAGATGGGTGACATCATCACCTGCCAGGTGCAAGTTCCCCAGTTTGTCTTTCAGTTTGAATAAAAGCATTGAGCACGAGGCCCTGGAAGATAACAATGGAGAGCATGCATGGGATCAACCTGGTGTACAACAAATTTGAAATTACAGTTGGCATGCCTGACAGCAGCAGTTGCGCTTGCCTTCACTTCTGCCTTTGCACTCGCATTGCACTGCGCTTTTCAACACGCATTTGCCCATGTACTGTAGTATGTTCAACCCTTCTGCATAAAAAAAAATTGCCGTCACGCTTTCTGCCCTGCATTTTTGTTTCAGAGCGTTATTTTTCACGCTGCTCCACAAAAATTTAATGAAAGGAGCGTTGTTTATTTGTTTTTGTTGTTTCTTCTGGAAAAAGAGGCCAAACATTACGTTCCTATGTGGAAGCGTTAAGTAAACTGCGGTAGGTTGTTGCCGAGCATGCAGTCGTTCAGCCTCTGCGCCTGTGCATCTCCACACTGTGGGCAGGAACTGGCCCTGTTCCAGTACAGCGTTAATGTACCAGCAGGCCCAATGCCTGGGCACAAGCGGGACTGGGGTGACCGTTTTCCAAACTGGCCAGTGCTTTGCCGCATATTGTACACAGAAAAAATTTGCGGAGAAAAAGTTCGCGTATTTTACGGGAAAAAATGTTCGCGGAGAGATAGTTTCGCGCACTTATCGGTGCACGAAAATTTTCTCCCGTGGACCTTTTTTCCCCGCAAAAATTTCTGCCACGCAAACATTTTGGCTGTGCAAACTTTGCCGGTGGGCTTCCGGCGGGTGTCCGCCTTGTCTGCAGCACGTCTCGAGGCCTAACAAACTGAGGGTCCCTTGGCGTCCTGAGCGAACAAGAGTGCCTGCCCGAGTGGCTGCCCACGAGGCCTGGGACTCCCAGGGACTCCCGGGTGACCCGGGTACCCGAGTTCCAGAAACTCCGGGTACCCGGGTCCGGTTTTGCTAGCCCGGGTACCATCCCTTATATATATGGACTTACTAAGCTGACAATGCGCCCCACCTCACAAATGTCAAGTGTACATGGCAATACTAAAATTAGGGTGTACCGTCTGACATTCAATGGATGTTGGGACCACTGTGCTAACAAATCAGAACATTGACAGGTGCATTCACAAAACCATAAAACACGCCTTGGCACCTGTGCACTCACACATGGCTGGCACCCCATTGCCACATTCAAGGGAAATGGGCATGACACATGGGGGTCTTTTATAGCACATTGGCAGTTGCACAAAATGTAGAAAGGAAAGTAGTATTATGCACAACCACTTTAAAGAAAAATTTAAGGCTTTGACAAGAATGGTCAGCCCTTCCAATTCAGAACACAATGAATAGGCTATCGGTCCTCTCATGGGACCATGCACAATTTGGTGCATTTGCCTTTTCAAAACAATCATCAGCCTCTCACATATTCCCTTTCTTCCACTAGATGAGACCAGTATTGCTTTTACAAAAATTGAATATTTTTGCCCCAAATCAGTATGACTTGCAGAACTATGGGGGAAGTGTAAATCGTACAGTCAACACACAGGGTGAGGGGAGTCAACCTACTTCTGACTCTCACTCCCTCACCCTAGACGTATGTTGAACTTGTTATAGCCATCCTGGCCCATGATAGTGCATGCATGATCTATAGTGAGAGAGCTAAAAATAGCCTTGCATAACACAAGGACTAACACCATGTTTAGTCTCTGAAATTCCATAGAGCTAGTACACCTGCCGTGTCAGGCCCATGTGTGTAAGTGCATTTCAAGACCTCCGCTTGAATGCAACCTGACACATCACATGAAATTCTAATTTTTCTTGTGAATTACTAGACTATACGCCTTTCCTCGTCAGGTAAGGCAGCCCAGATGGTCTTTCTCAGACTAGGGATGTGCTAGCTAGCCTCATCCCAATTCACCCACACAACTTGGCTCCTTGGGTTCCAGAATCATCTTTGAATCCAGTCAGTCTAGGGAGCTGACAGGTGACACGGATCTGTTGAGCACACAGGGTGGTATTTCATGACCGGCCCTTGTCTCCTAAGTTTTCCACCTCCTTTACACTCACAGTTTGCAGCATCGTGCTCATAATCCATTTTCGAAGTTTTTCTCTTTCCTTACTTTTACTTTTTTTGGTTTCCAAATTCACCAATGGTGGCATACTCAAGCCATCCCATGCAGTGCATACAACACATATGGCAGATACCCATCATACGCCAATTACATAAGTGATCCACCCAGTGAAAACGGTGGTCATTGTGTGGCGTCACGAACAATGGGAAGATGCACAAAAGCACCGCTGATCAGGAGAAGAGAACTCATGACTTGTTGCAAAACCTCTCTCAAACTTTCAATCTTCGAGGAATCTCTAGAATGGATCAATTTTCAGGCTTTTGGGGCTTCGCTCCCATCACCTATCGCAGCTTTTGCCATCCCATTTTCAAATCACTGCAATCACCCAATTTTTTGTTATTTTCCCTAAACTTATTTTGAAGTTCTATGGCATTGCTAGGTAACGTTGCTGAGTCATCTTGGCATCGAAATAAGGGTTATTGCTCGGGAAGGGGGGGAAGGCTGAGCTTAATGCCAAATTGACGTTAAGCATACAAAATTCAAAAGAGGTGTCTTCCTTAGACTGCACGTCTGCAACTGTCCGTTTCAAACTCACAACTGAAGTCACATCTTTTGCTCATGGGTCGGATACGCTCATACGACAGGCTCCTCTCTGGCATGCCAGAATTCAACCTGGGGCTCAACAAACAGCTTCGCAACATGACTTTTCATCACTGTGTGAATTTGGCGCCCATTGAATCCCGGAAAGTGGCGACGCCTCTACCTTCTGATGGTCAATTCCAGCTGACGAACTAAAGGGTACAAGATGCACGAATATCTGCACTTCAAGCGGAGAACCTCCTTCAAAGTGCAGCAAAGTCAACGATGGAAAACACAGAACCATCACCATCACGATGTGCAAAACCTGCAAGCCCACCAACCGCTGCTGGTATATTGCCTGCCACGCCTGCATGCCACGCGGCCTGGTACATTGCCTGCCACGCCCTTCGGCCACCTGCCGGGGTATTCCCCGGAACCACGCCGCGCCGTGGCGGTCGGCGGGTTCTTACTTGTACGCTCATACGGGATTTTGTTGCCAGTTTGGGCTCCAAGGCTCTGTTCCCTTGATGTAGGATGACGTTGTAAGCTCCATCTCCTTGAATTCACAAAAAAGTTCATTGGAAACAGCTTCATATCCTGGACATATACATCAAGGACATGGACGCCGATCACCTGGATATGGAGGATCCGTGCCCAGGATATGGTCATATCCTAGATAGGTGTATCATGGATATGGCACCCATACCATGTTCGATATCCAGGATGTTAGGGCCTACTCATCTTCTATTTCATATCCGAAGGTGGGGCTTTTTATTGACCACTGCTCCCGTGTTCATGGCCCTGCCCGCGCTTATATGTTACAGGCCTTGCACTCGTCCAATCCGAACACTCCCCATGTGCTTGTCCCTTCCATTCAAATTTCAAACACAAGATTTACACGCTTCCCCCAAAAAATCCCATGCAGTTTGCTGACGCCACAATGCAGGTGCTCCAAGGACGCAGCCGGCCTTCTGTGATGGGTGTTGATCATTTGTCGTCATCCACAGGGACGTCCAGAATGGTCTTTGCCAGCGCCCTGACAACCGCAAACAGTTCTAGGAGCTTACTCCCCTACACCACCTGTACTTGCGTGTGGAAAGACTGCATGTGGCGAACAACACAATACAGGGGAAGGTGCAGGGTCTAGGGAGGTTTGCCAGGTGCAGCGAGGCCCCTCTAGTTTCCTGGAAATCTGTCGCAGTCCGATGTTCCGGACTCAGGAGAGACGCTTACGGTGATCAGCGCAACGTTGTTTGCATTGCTGCACTGGACGCATCATTCCTGGGCAAGAATGTTTTGAGACCCTTTTGTTTCGTCTGCCTCTGTTGCTATGCCATTGCTGGTTACAGGAGGTCAGGATGACAAACATGGGCAGACTTTGTGCCAACACGCCAACAGGCAGTCTTGTGCAGCGAGCGCAGGCGAATACATGATGCTTAATCGATTGGTGCCTAATGCCGCGCACTCAAACAATGCACTGGCCTAGCTCTGCCCCATCGCACCTCCTCAGCACAGCATCGTTGAAACCGGGCATGAGCTCTGCGTCCTCAGCCACCTCCTGGGCTATCTGGGCCCTGAGTTCCAAAATTCGCTCAGCTAGGTCCCTGCAAGAGGGAAAAAGGACGCCATTATTCAATGAATCAAACCTGAGACACAACTGGTGACTGGATCAGCTGCTGTTAAAGAGTTCCCAAAAGGGACGATGCAACCCTCCAAGGGATGCCATTCCTACACACCGTGATTGACAAGGACCACCTTTTGCGATTCAATTGCCTGGCCAAACACCCGTGGTGGCTGCAACAAAGAGTTGAATTCTCTTGCAACTGCATAATTGGACAGACTACAAGACGCAGCCTCCCATAACTCTGACCTTATCCATTCCCAGTGCCCGGGTGTCCCGCAATTCAAGGCGGACTATTTTCTCCGGCACACAGTGATTCATATACCTTTGCACACAGTCACGCTAACCACAGCCACACCACAGAGCTTCACAGGACATAGCGCTTCGGAAACATTTGGTCAGCTGGTTTTTCAGGTCAATTGGCTCAAGCACAACTTTCTAAATTGCATCTTTGGCATCTGCCAGGATCAAAGGAAAGAGGGATCTCAGCTTCTATGTCACTGCCAATCAATGTGCGGAGTTGGTTGCAGCTGCTTGGTCATGCAATATTCACGCACATGTTTTATATCTAGAACTCGACAGAAACATGAAGCTGCAATCAAAGACAAACAGGAAACGTGTAATGAGCTGTGCTTCTGTTGCAAGACGTACAGACTACAGGCACCACAAGCTTCAACTGAAGTTTCCTTACATTCCATGCAACACAGCATGCAAACAAGGTCACAAGGGCCAATCCGATCTACAAAGAAGATTCAAGAGATGCAGTGCCTCAGAAATTCTTGGTCAGTTGGTTCTCATGGCCATTCGGCTCAAACACCACTTTCCAGATTGCATCCTTGGCATGGAACAAAGCTCATGAAATGAAAGCAACAAACAGTGTTGACTACTATGTGCATAAGCAAAGCAGCACTCCAACAGCATCAGAAAGCTTCTTCATTTCTCCTGGTCGACGGAGATAAGGTCACAATAATTCTCGCTCAGCAAGGACTGATCTTTGCAGCCCATGTTTGCCTTTCCGTAATAGTTGCAATCGTTTTGTGAAAGGTGGATCGACACTCTACTTCCTTCTGCACATGCCAGCAGTGAATCCGCTTGCTGCATCCATTGGCAACAGACACAACATGAACCCTGCATTCACTCCGGTTTGACGGGTTCCCAAGCAGCGGACAATCGCCCAGTCATGAACAAGGGATTGGGGTCCATGAAAACTGCATGATCCAAAAACAACTCACAAGTAGCCACCCTTCCTCAAGCATGGGAACAAATACACAGCACGAACACAGTTCCTACCCCAATGTGTGCATTCCAGCTGGAACCGTCCCTTTCTCAATATGTGTACATAAATATTGTGGATTTCATCACAACAATACATACATACCGTGGACTCACTTCCTTTTCGCCCTTCACGGCAGCCTCTGCTTCCATGGTGGGCGCCGTAGACCGCCGTGGATCCCTGACCTTCGTCAGGGGTGTTGCGGCCAGCTCCGTCAGCCAGTCCTCTGAGCTGCCGTCCATCTTCAAGGGATGCTCCACAACATGCGCGTGCAAGAAGTAGTGCAGCTGCGGATTTGTCTCCTCCAAGTAGTGAAGGAGGGTCTTCAGCGCCTGGCGGGTCACCAAGGACCTGAGCAGGGCCTTTGTCTCCCCCCTGTGCCATCGCCAAAGCCGTGTCACTGCTGGTGGCCTGCACACCTGTGGGTTGGATGTTGCCATGCACGCTGTTGTCTTTCAGGTGCAAATGCCATTGGTCATATTGGCAAAGGCATTTGTCGAAGTCGCAGACAGGTCACAGATGGAAATCTGCTTTTGATCATACCAAGCATCTTCAGGCAAATTTAAGCCCTTGGCCATTTGCCTGTTACAGCAACAGCAATGTGAAGCGCAACATTCTGGTCAGGACATGGGTATGGGTCCACAGTATCAGACAGGATCACCTTAAGCAGCAGTCTCAAAGGGCTTCACCACCCTTGGCAAAAGCACAAGCAAGGAAGGCAAGACACACAACCTGCATCTCTGCCGTCTGAGCAACAACGTGTGGTGGACAGCATTCCGCACTGCAGAGATTACATCAGCTGCAACGGGCATGGAGCCCAAGTGCCATTTTGTGGAGAACTCTTTTCCTCGCGGCCTCGAAATAGACAAGAGCAACAAGGGGCTGAGCACGAACAGGGATCTGATGCAATAGCAAGAACCCGTTCAGCGGACTCTCCTGTTCCGGCGGGACCTCCCCTGCAATGTCCAAGCCGTCCACAACCAGCAAAACAGTGGGATCAATTAGTGGCGGCCAGGCCCATCACATGAACCGCACTTTCCCCTGACACAGTCGCAGGCCCAGCAGCATCCGAGTTCACCGGTCGGTGGACGCCTCCAATCCCGGCGACGCCATTCTCCGGGCAGTCCCCGGAGCCACCTGCCTCTCCCTATCGGTTCCATGTTCTTATCGCCGCCTGGGTTGCTGGTGTGCACACAGCCCCTTGCCAATGGACATGCAGCGCTGACGACTGATGACCCTACCTCTGTCTCCGCCTTGTTTTGTCTGGGCGCTCCAGATAAATCTCCCCAAAGGTGGAGCAAAAGCGGGAATAACGCCTCGCTATACTGTCTTGTAACGATCTTAGTCCCCGGCGCCAATCACCTGTACACGCTGCCGCCGGTCGCCCTGGACGGTGCCCAGCGCCTGCCTCCCCGGCCGCGGCAGCCGGGCCTGCCCACAACGCCGGTCCGCGTCGCGAAGGCCGGCATCTGTTCCGCGGCGCCGCCTTGGAGTGCTCCGTCAGGCCATCGCGCGGCACCAGGCGGGGTTGGCGGTGGTGCGGTTGCAGTAAAATGGGTGCGGCTTTCGTGGACTTGAAGGCCGGAGGCGGCCTGGGGTGGAAGTGTGGGTGCGGGCAGCAGTACTTTGCGAGCGGTTTGGAGATCTCCTACTTTGTGCCACCGGATGAATGAATGCGCAAACGCATCCTTCGGGCAAAGTGAAAACACGGCTCGAGCAAAGCAGCGTCCTTGACGAGTGCATGGAAATTTAATGTAAAACACAAACAAGTCTGGACTTGTGGTAATGCCAAGAAGCGTTTGTCGATGGCAACACTTGGAAAGAAGCGTCCTCGCCATTTGGCAAACGGGGACTGAAGCAAAACGTGTTTTCGCAGTGCGATGTCGAAATGGATTTGATTGACTCAGAGACACAACTCGTTGCTGCTCACAGGAGACACTGTTGCTACTCACATGGAGCCCAAGTGCCATTTTGTGAGACACAACTCGTTGGCTCAGCGGTGGAAGACAAATGTATCTCATCTTTTGAAGCTGAGTGCCATAATGGGCACAGTCGCCTTCCCAAGTCTGGAACAGATTGGCGTGATAGGAGTTGTATTATTTGCCACACATCATGCAGGGTAGGGATAATGGAGTGCAGCGATCGGCCTCCGTGCGCTGCAGATGATACATAGGATCACGGGAGATGGAGGTGAATCGGCTTGGAAACAAACAACAATATAGCAAAGAAATAAGAGAAAAGTAATAGAAAACACTTGGGGTTGGAAGGAAGAGAGACATGGCGTGCGATGGGCAACCCGGTCGCCAAGGGAAGAGAGAAGGGGATGCCCATTAGGGCCGTGAAGGCCAATGTATAGTCTCTGGTCGCAGGACGCGAACACTTGTGTTGTCTGCGCATTGTACCACAGCACAATGAGTGCCACTCGTAGCAAAGCATAGGAGAAACACAAATTTGCTGTTGCGGTAATTGTCAAAAGTCGTAAACTGCAGAGAAGTTTCTGTACCTTAACTCTCCCCCCAGAATATAGAAAGTCTTTCCGTATTACAGATTTTCTACTGCACATAAAATTACAGAACCTCTTTCTGTACTACTTTCTGCGTCGCTGTGTTTCTACATCACGTCTCAAAGAGGCCGATCGTTTTCTCTTCGTGAACCGCCAATTCTAGTCCTGTTTTGGCCAAAACTTTTTGAAGCGCATTGATGATATCAAGGTCCGTTTTTGCAGCTGCACCGGAGGCGGCCCGATGGATTGGAGAGACGATTGGAGGGGGGCTGCGGGAGGTGCGCCGGGGGGAGCGTCAAGTTGCGGGAAAGGGGGCTGACCCTCTGACGATCGGCCGCGGTTTGGTCAACCACGGCAGCTAGCCCGATGGAGACGAGACCACTCAGGAAAATGTTGCTGCTGCGTTGATCATTGTGTGGAGCAGGAACCGCAATTTTTGCGCTGCGCATTGCTGCGCTTGAATTGGCAGTTTTGGGCCTGGCCTGTGTGGCACACTAGGAAAAAAAAGGGCAAAATAACACGTGTTCAAACGTGTACAAAGTTTACGGGTTTGTGCTATTTCTGAGTTCTTAGCGTGCAGAACCTTGATGAAATGTGTTTTATGTGCGTTCAAAAAAGTGTTATTCAGTCCTTTTTTTCCTAGTGGCAGGGACGGCGCTCCGCCCGAAAAAGGGCGATCGAAGGGACCTGGGGCCGATGCTCGAGTTCCTTGGATTGGGCAATTCAGGCATCGAAATAGTTCTCACTGATCGAAATTTGTGGCAAATCAAAATTTCGGGAAAGGTACGCCCATGTAAGAAACAAGGCCACATCCCTGCATTTAATGCCAAGCACTTAATTCCTCGCCCAGAAATTTTCGCAAGAAGAAGCAGCCAGGAAGCTTGGCGATGCGAGATGAGTTCATCAAATTGGCTACGGAGAACGCCCGCTGGCACAAAATTTTCTTCTTTTCTCCCCCTCCTCCCTTCTCCATCCAACCTGATACATCACGCCCACGATTAATCTCAGCAGATGCGCCTTCCAGCGGGCGGGCTCTGGCGCTCAGACTGGGGTGGCAGGAGCAAATTGGCGCATTAGACGGAACTGGCGTGCCAGTACTGGATTCCCAGACACTCGATCCAGGTTTGGACGTTTCGAATTGTGGAAAATCGAGGTCCGGCGATCCAAAAACACTGACACAGGAAAAATCGAAGCCATAATCACTTCGCTCTCTTGCGCAGCTCCCTAAGGCCGCTTCCGTCGACAATGAGACTCATTGTCGACTCAGTCGTGATTACTACAGTAATTTCAGAATTTCTCGGAATGGAGGCTATGCTTAACATAACCGTGTACATACAAATACACCATCAACTATGGAAAACATAACCATACATACGTAACTATGTCTTTATGCAAGAAAAAGTAATTTGCATGAATGGCCATCCAGCGGTCGGTGTCTTCTGACTTGCCCTTCCTGGGTTCACAGAGCACGAAGCGTACTTCCTGCGTCCCCATCCTGGCTGGTGCCTCCCGGAGCTCTCATTGGAAGGGCCCACCTCGCGGTATCCGCCGAATTCCCAATACATCGGTGACCGCATCGGTACACATTGGGAGCCACCACCGATACGTCACCCAGTCGACTACTCCGATGTGCAGGACACCCCCGATGCTCGCAGCCCGCCCACGGGGTGGCACGGGTTTCAGCCCCCCAGAGAAACTAGTTACGCTCCGTTAGCGTTGAACAGTGCAGAGGGCTGCTGCAAGCGTCAGCCCATCAACAGGACATCTCGCAACCCATTAGTCATGCAAGCTGCAGTGGTTTCCCAACAAGAGGCGCCGCGCAAGGCGGACGTCCGACCATGTGAACGCTTGGTCGATCGTGGCGCGCATGAAGATGGGAGATTTGATGAGTGCGGCAGAAAGTGTGGTGAACCGGTCAGTCGTTGCGGCCGACATGGTGACGACACCTCAGCCGCCGCCAGGCGCAAGAAAATTTTGGAACCAAGCCAGAAGGTGCCGCGCGTGGGCTACGCATCCAGACGGAAGCTGCGGTGCCGGCCCATGCCACCATGGAGGTGGTATGAGGAGCGAATTGGGTAAAACTTGCGCACTAGCAAAACAGCACATTTTGGGGCCGGGTCCCAGGATGGCGTGCTTAATGTGTGTCAAATCTATGACCATCGCGTTTGAACAAGTTCAGGTCGAAGGTGGCTGGCAGAATGGCTACAGCTGGGAACCTGTTGGACCTCCGCTGAAGAGTGTTTCGACTCAAATGCTTCAGAGCGTACCGTGCACAGGCGCACCGCATTGAAGCGCCAAAATGGGACCAATGCTGGGTTTTTGATCACTGCGTTTGGAACAAATTGAATTTCTATCAACAGGAACATCACCTTCGTTTTCTATTCGGGTTTGTTTTCCTCATTACAAGGCAATGCCATTTCGCTGGCTGGCCAATGTCGGGGCCTTTAAGAGCAGTACAGAGGGCATGCGAGCTGCAGTGCCTTTGATATTCAGGTAGTTGCACATGCGCCCGCTGCCCTTTAGGTGCGTGCCGATAAACGACGATGGGATTGGTGGAAGTGGTTGTAGCGGAAAACATGGCGCAATAGGTGGTATATGGTGGCGTGATAAGTGGTATAGGTGGTATGTAGGTGGTACATGGCATGTGATGGCATCAATGGTAGAGCGTTGCTAAGAAGCTTCCAATGTGGATTCCAAATCCACCTCGAGTCGAGGTTCAGCTGAGGGTCCAGGACGAGCCCCAGATGTCCTTTGGCGAAGGCATTGCGCCGGCAACAAATTACACACACGGCAGAAATATGGATAGAACATGGATGGAATGCCGATGAAATATGGATGCATGCTTGATGCACTTTTAGTAATGGATCCAATAAGTCAAGTCGGCCACGTTGACGACGCCTGAAAGCGTTCTGTGTTCCTTTCCCGCAGTCAAAAGCCAGGTGAGGGATGTCTCAGCTGTCCCCCCCTGTACACGCGGCGCCCTGACTTTTAAGGTATCTTTTCGAAAAATTGCGAGAATTATCGAACATGTTAACGCTGGCTGAGATGTCCGACAAGCTTCATGGGGCCGTCTGCAGATGGAAGGAAACGGATCGCCCTCTGACAGGTTGACGAGAGTCACCCGGGCATTTTCCGGCTTTTAGCAATTCTTGAGTGCCAAACTTCAGCCCCTAAGTCTCACAGCATTTGCGCCTGTGTTACCCTGCCGCCCGCGAGGCTATAATTCCGCACCTATGCAAGATCTCAACTTATTTAGGGTAAAGGCCATTGGATTATAATCCGCATTAACGACATTTGCCCAGCTGAAGGAACGTGGTCGAAGGATCTATCCACCCTGCCCCAGAAAACAATGCAGCAGTGCTGAACTGCACTGGTACACCCCTGTCATATGGCCATATCAAGGACCTTTTACAAAATCATAACTTTGTGAGCTTCATATTACAATTCGTTCAATACTGCTGCAGCTCTGGCAGCACTTTACTAACCTATTCACAACCAACATGCCCAGTTGGTGCAAATCTGCCACTTCCACCTCCTGCCATCATCGACTGAAGTGCACTGGAACCATGTCATTGGCCTTGCACTGCACCCGTGAATCAGTGCTGCATATGACACCAAGTGCAGTGAATATGCGGCATGCTGACTCTGGAAGTGGATCTGAAGCTGCATCCAGGTTTCTGCTGTGCACTGTTGACAGAACGTCTGTGCACAAAGACTTCCGTATTATCATCTCACGTCATGGGAAAGACTAGCAAGACCATTTCCTGGCGTGTCTGGTGTGTGTCATGTTCCTTGTGGCCAAAATCATTTGAAGTGCCTCTCAATGCCAATGTCCCGATGATATGGTCTCATTGCATGCCCTCAGCCAGTCTCCACAGCACGTGCCACCACCTTTGCACAGTGCTTGAAACTGCTAGACAGATGCTAGGAAAGCATTCACAGCATGTGCAATCACCTGCTCAACCCACCAGTGCCTCAAAGGCACAGGGGCTGCACGAATGGCTTGTGCAGACGATTGCAGTTGGTGCAGAATATCATCGCCTGGTCATCTGCGACTGCTGCTAGCATTTTCTGTGGATCATGGCCGGGCCACCATCTTCATACTCCATCTTGGTCACGTAATGACCATGCTGAGCCACAACCTGCAGTTTCCATGCAAGCAGAACCTCAATGGTGCAGTCCTCATAACGTAGGGATTGTGCTGGTCACTTGCAAATAATTGCTTGGTCCTTGTAGGCCACAAGACCACCATTGATGTCCAAGGATGTCTGAATGCAGCAGGTACATCGCAACAACTAGTGGGTTGTTTCATATTGCCGGGACCTGTACATGTATCTAGTCCACTATTCTGCTTGTCTCTTTTCTCAGGTGCACAGTGCCAGATATCGCACAAGAACTCACACTTAGCCTTGCCCGCCCATTGGCCAGGCATCAGCATGCAGTCATCCGGTTCCACAACTGTGCACAGAGCAGATTGGCTGAAACAGAAGAAATGAATGGGAAGAAAAATGGAGATAAGTCCAAAGAATGTAAATTTGTGCATCGAATTCCCAAACAGGTCATGGTGTCGTCCTGCCAGCACCCTCACCTTGGCCACGATCGCCCCGCCCATCCACGGCGCATACTGCAGCGTGCTGTCCGGCATGTACTCCGGCGCACTGCAGATGCCCGCCTGCATCGACGGCGGCACGAACAGCCCGCACTCCCTCTGCAGCCTGACCAGCATGTTGCCCACCCGCATCCCTCCCCCGCACACCAGCAGATTCTCCATCAGCAGCCTCCTCACTGAGGGGTCCCCGAAATTCAGGACTGCATCGCACACGGCCTCAGCAACGCCAAACTCGTCGATCCCAATCAGCCCCGGGTCAAAGAATGCTTCCCCAAGGGTAGCAGATTCGGATGCTTGAACTGTGATCGTGTTGCCATCGGGAAGGGTGTGGATGGCGGTTGTGGGTGGTTGGAAGGGCTGTGGGCCAGTGGAGGCGGTGGCCGCCCCAGTTGTGGGATGTGTGGGAGAAGTTGCTGGGGACGCTGGGGAGGTGGGCTTGGGCTGGGGGGGCGAGGTGGGGCCGGCGTCAAGGAGGGACCTGAAGGCCTCGGAGGTTTCAGAGCATGCTGCGCACTGCTCTTTGAGGTACTCAGCATCTACCTCAGACGTTTCGATGCCCCTCTGACCTGTGGGAGACGAGGAGAGCATCTGTATGTGTCAATGGTAATATGTTTGGAGTGAGACAGAATCCTGTGAAAGTGCCCCTGCAATTGCAGTAGGAATGGCAATGCCACCACAGGAAGCAGTTTCAAAGAGAATTTCCCAGCAGAAGTGCTACGATACACAACACATCTGCAACTAGAAAATGAGATGTGAGAATGACAAATGTGTAGCGAGGGACAAAAAAAATAGCTCCAACTTCTCATGCTTGTAGAATGCAGCACCAACATAGATGCTATGGGATGACCAAATGATCAAAATAACAAATGTCACCAGCCAACAGCGTCGCCTGCCACATGCTACAAAGGGAGGTGGCAACAAGTTGTTGAACGTGTTGAACACATTCCTGTCTGATGATGACCAGAAAAACTATGAGAAATGCAAATTGCAGACAAAAAATCATCCTCACCTAGCATCTGCTGGAAGTAGGAGGTGATTTGTGAGCCCCCAAACCCCAGTTTTCGCGCCCCCTGCGTCTGTGCCTGGCCCTCTGTGACTGGTGCAACCGTCATCTTCCCGTGGCCAAGGTCCACAACGCAGCCTGTCAGTCGACCGACAGCAAACAGGGACAGAACGGAGTTGTCCTGGATGAACAGGCCCGCCACATTGAATTTCTCGAACAGCAGTTGCGACATGAGTTCGCGGCCCTGCCTAGCCCACACCCGGTCAATCAGTCCAACAGCCCATCAGTCAATCGATCAATCGAGCGTATCAATCAAGCAGGCACTCAAACAATCAAGATTCCAGTCACATGGCACCTCAACATCAAAAATCACGTCATTTCTGCATCAACAAAAGAACGGTAATAACAGGCAAAGCAAACAAAGCAAAAGAAAGTTAAGCAGATGGCGAGTCCGAAAAGCATGCACACAGACTGGTCACTAGTTACAAATAGGGCACTGAAAGCATGGGAAGGGGGCTGGTGATGGCACATCAGAATGAAGAGTCTGGGTGTTCCCCAAGCCCACTAAATGAAAGAATGGCATTTGTGACTCTGGGCATGTGCCTGGACATGTTCAGGTGGACAGCATTGGTCACATTCACAGGTATGTTTCCAGTTTGTGGAATCCTTTTGGAGATCCAAACAACACAAGATGATGGCACTGCGCTTTCCAGTGTCAGTGCACCACACAAGCTCACCAACAACGGAGCGCACCTGGATGTGAACAGGGGCTCACACATCAGCAGGAAGCCCTCCTCCCCATGCTCCCACCCCAGCCCCCCGTACAGGCAGTGCTGCAGGATCGACTCCAGGGCGTCCCAGTCAGCCACGTCGCCATCCCGGACTGCATGGCGAATCGCAACTGGTTCTGCGCCCCCGCTGCTGCTCCCAAATTCGTGCACAATCGACGGTGTGATCTGAGAACAACAAATGTTGTGATCGGCGTTGGCTTCCAACGCTCCCATGTCGATCATGAGAATTTCATTTCAGGTACATGCCTTTGGAAAATATGACATTGCAGGGCCAGCACAGTCCTTGCACCCTTGAGTCGAAGGCCACAAATGAATGCCAGTGACCTGGCTTGTTGCATGCCACAGACAGGAAGAAACAGACCATTCGATAACACCATACGTGTCTTTATGATTAAGTTGGGCAAGGACAATCGCACAACCATGCATGCCCTTCCAAGGCGTGTTCAAGATAGTCTGTTCCATGCCGCAAGTGACCCAAAACAGTGAGAGAAGCCGGCAAACTCGCAGGTCGATGGCTGTGGATGAGTGAGAGACGTCTCAGGTAAGACAAGAGACAAATGAGAGAACATTCATGTGTTGCAAGGGAAGATCCCGTCCGGATTTGGGTGTTTTCGACTTTTCCCGCACTGAAGGTTGACATCTAAATCTCCAATCGGAAGAGAAAGAATCGCAACAGACAAAAGCGATGATTAGCAATGAGCATTACCAAGGAAACCGCGTCCAGGGACCGCGCCTGCAGCATCAGCGAGGGTTTGTGGTCGCCCACTAGGAGCAAGTGGCCTGCCTCGTGATGGAGAGTCTGATCGATGGACTTAACAACAAGTGCTGGTGTGGGATGCCGCACAACAATCCGTAACCGCAAACGGGCGGCACGCAAGGTGGTCTCTCTGCCGGAGGCAAGTGTGCCCGGCAGCGGTGCACTTTGTCTTTCGGCAGCGCGTGAACGCATGGGAGGCAACGATCACCCTCCACGGAGCAACTATTCCTGTGAGACTCTTCTTCCATCAACAATACAGAAAATGGCGCCGATGTTTCCGATCACAACAGGAGCAGCACGCGAAACGGAGCAAGAGGGGCAAGAAAACGCGCAAGGGGACCGACGCTCATGATCTGGTCCTGCGTGGGCACCGAGGGCTTCGGGGCAAGGAGGCGTTTGACAGGGAGAGATCGCTACCACGTCCGGGTCGCAGGGGAAGTTGCTGTTGAGGCCCGCCTTCACGGTGTGGCTGCCGTAGTCCACCACCGCCGCGTTCTCCATGGCCGGCGCCGCGGACGAGCGCCAGAACGACGGGCCCAGGAAACAGAGTCGCGGACACAAGGCTTGTACTTACTCTCTGGGCGGGAGAGTTGCTGTCGGCGTGCAAGAAACGACTCGTTCGTGTTTTCTTTTTCCTTTTTTTTCCCTGTTTTTTGAAGCGACCTCCCCCTGTCCCTCCAGATTATGAATATTTTCTTGTTTTCAAAATTGCTTTTGTTGGTCTTCAGCGCGTTGCCACGAGTCCGCAACCCGGAGGGTTTGGCCGACTGTGGACGTGTCCCCTGAAACCGGAAGCGGCCAGCCCGGGCAGCAGGAGTTGTGCAGGCTCCTTGTTCGGCGCGCACCAAGCCCAATCGGAGCTGCCCGGCCCAGCCAAGAGCCCTGCGTCGACTCAGCTGCTCCCTCAGGTGGCTTGAATCCATCGCATCCACGTGTTAAACGACGCGGTGGCAAAGATTACATTAGTCCGTCTGCCTTGTCTGTGTGCATCCGTTCTTCTTCCGCTGTCAAGGGTGTCAAGACAAGATGGGATCCACACGACAAGACAGAGCGACCAATCCCATGCCCATGCTGGGCATCCCTGGAGCAGAACACATCTGGACCCGCCGTTCGCATCGCGATGCCTTCCCCTTTCTTCCTGTTGCTTCCTGTATCCGTGTCAAACGCCGGTGTGCCAAGGCGCTGTGGTGGGGCTTTAGTGCCCGCAACAATTTGCATTGGGGACGCACTTGGGGCGTGCATGGGCGTGGGCAGCGATGCCAGGAGCACAAATGCTGACGTCGTGACTTGTTGGCCTGCATGGGTACATGCTCCGGCAGCAGTAGTTGCATCAAGAGGGACATATTTGTTTCTTGCTTGCCAAGGAGTCATGCAGCACCTGCACTTTCGCTTGTCTCTTGTTTATGCAACGTTGAGCTCCGAATCTTTCAGCAAAGATGGCAAGCTTCTTGGACTGACATCAGGCAAGAAGGTCCTGGCATACCTGCATGTGTAGAAAGCGTGAAGTGTGAGTGCATCCTTCTCCTGGGGTTGGCCTTCGGCGCTTGGCAGGGAGCCGAAGGGTGCGTAGCACCTTGAGGCTGAGGCCCCCCAACACACAAGAACAGCACGGGGGATACAATTCCATGGCTTAACATTAGCACAATGCTACCTTGCCATATCTCACATTGTGAGCAAAAGTCACAAATCGCTGCCTATGCGGCTGGAAGGGTTTGAGGGCAATGTGGCAAGTGTTGCCAAAAGGCTGGATGATTGTGCCATCCGAATGAGACTGAGCCTTGTGCGCATTTTGCGGCTGTCAAGTCGAAGGATATCGGCACTTGTAAATAAGCGTATGGCAGGTGTATCTCTGGTTCTCTGCAAGTTAATGCCACACAGCGAAGGGTTATGCTTGTGCAAAGGTTGCCTCTTTCAAGTTCAATGAGCTTAAGATTGTGCTTTGGCATTTGTCAGAGGCTGTGTGCAGTGGTACCAGCCCCTCCATTGTCAATTTGCACAAGATGATTGGCCAGTTTGTTTTCTTTTGCAATTGTAGCGAAGAGAAGAGCGGGAACAACAACTGTCAAAGGAGGAAAAATGCAACAAGTGATGCGTGCCATGTATGCAGGTATCATACATCAAGGAGCAATATGGAAACATCAAGAAGCAGTGTGAATTCCACAGTGAAAAAATCATCATACATGCCCCTTGAGAACGACTACGCAAAGCTGTGCGACATGACTTTGGTAGCTGAAGGGAAACCCTACCCTGCTCATGGCGCAATGCTGGCATTCCATTCACAGTTCTTTCGCAAGATGCTTGTTGATCTTCAGAGCCCTTCAGCCTTGCACACAGCCGACAATATGGTCATAACTTTGGATGAATCAGTCTCTGCAGCCGATGCCAGGTTGATGTTGGCGATTCTGTATGGCAAGCGGACGAAATTGAAAACGGTAAGTTTGGTATCCATTTAACCACCACCTGTCAATCCATTGTTGTCCACTGTCGATGTGGCATTGGTTTCAATGTTGATCTCCAAAGAAACGTGGCAATCACGAGACAAAATTTGATTGATGCCACCAAATTTTCTTCCACTGGTGACTTCCTGACAGTGGCCGTTGAGACATGGCATCAAACTGATCACGTGCTGCATCTGTGCATCTCATACTGTGTGATAGGTTCTCGTTTGCCAGTGCAGTCAAATGCTGCAAAGTAGAAAGGAAAAAGAGTGAATGGTGTTCTGAAACCCAGTGATTGTGTGTTGTTTTCAAGGCAAAGGAGGCTTGGAACATGGTGCACTTAGGAGACAAGTACGAATCCAAAATTCTCATGAACCTCGCTGAGGACATGATCTCCTGCTCACCATTATATTTTTGTGGGTCTCCGCTCTCGTTTGGATCGATGCAGGATGAACATCTGAATGCATGCGTGTGGCTTGGAGTGGCGGACCGCTTGGGTCTGGAGAGAATTCGCAAGCAATGCCAGTTTGTGATATTACGAGACCTGGAATCGAATTTCAGATGCTCTGCCGCAGAGCCCATGCCAAAGGCTGCAGTAGACTCGTTGAGCCAGCATGGCATGTCTGCCCGCAGCATATGTGAGCTTCTTGCTGCGTTCATGAAATTAAGTCCGGTCCAGGAGCATCATGTCTGCACACGCTGCAAGAAGGTCCAAGATCCAAAGCAGGACCAAATGATGTCGTGGGCGTGGGCATTCAGAAGTGTGCTGTGTCGATGCCCTGTTTGCAAGCACGAAGGGAGTCCGGAGGCATTCACCAACTACAAAGAATTCAAATGTGCTACATGTCAAGGCTCACTGGTGAAGATCGCTCCAGACACAGCACCGGCGAGTAGGAATGTGCTCGATATATACAAGGCGCTGGATGATGTGAAAGGCCCACTCCATGGTTAGGAATACCGAGATCTGGGAAGGATTCGTGTGAGGACTTTGATTATGGAATTGTACGGGAGGTCTGGTTCTTTCACGAATTTCTATCGACACGTTGCGCTGAGCCATGTTCGTGTGGTGTGCACGTCAAGGTTAGTTGCGCCGCCTCAGAGATTGTGAGGATATGAGCTGTGCAGCGGCGCTGTGCATGGACTGGTGGTGATGACACCCCGCTTTCAAACAAGGAAGGGCGCTTCTGGAGGGCAGTTGTATTTATGTTTGCATTATTTGTACTGTTTGTGTGTTTATATTTGGCAGAGCTGTCGAAGTTGAGTCTACTTTGGAAAATGTCAGGTGGATGAAAAGGAAAAAGAGAAAACCAAAAGCAAAATAACAAGGGAGAGTGCAGCAAACGCTTTCTGGGGTAAATGTGCAGGTGATGCAGTACTTCGGTAGCCAAGTAGTTCTTCTAGCGCAGGATAGCGTTCTGGTTACATGATTTTATGATGTACATGTGTTGTTTGCCCTGTACATTATGGGTGCTGATGTGATGGAACAATGTGGTGGGGAGACTTTCGCTTGCAGTGTGCACAATTTTGGATTGGAAGTTTTGAAGTTTGTTTCGCTTTCTGTTTGTTGTACATTGATTGAGAGTGCGGAGCGTGTTTCCCTGAATGGCCCAGCCGGTGCCGCGTCGGTTGAATTTCATCTTCAAACATGGACAGGTGTGAAGAATCGAGGCATGGCTGCCAATGAATGTGTTGTGCTTTCATCCCGCCGTGCAATGCTCTTCTTTACATGGATAAAGGAAGACACTATGTCGAGGTTGTTATGCTTAGCGTCAATTTGACGCTAAATGGGTTGGGGGAGGTCCCGCCCTGTGACGCTAAGAGGTTATGCAATTGAAACAAAATCGTCATAAGCTTGGAAGATATCCAAAAAGCTGCCGAAAAGCGCCAATAAACGTATGACTTGTCTCAAAACTTCCCTTTGGCGTTCAGTCTTCACAGAAAGACCCATAAAATATTGATTGGCGGCCTTCAAAATCTGCCCCCAATCATCTGCTATAGCTTTTGCATCTGAGTTTTCAGGCCACAAAATTTTGTGGCAACTTTAAAGTTGCTGCAGTTTTGGCCATCCTTCCTTCAAAACAGAATAAATTGGCAGCTCACCATTATGGTGCTGAGTCATCCTGGCTTCGACATAAGGATTGACGATAAGGAGGGTGGGTGGGTAAGATTGGTTACAAAAGAGAAAGAGAAACAGGTCATACAAAGGGCACCCCTCCTAGGCAAGTGTATGTGAGGTTCTGTTCCATGCTATGAAAAGATGATATAGAGCCTCCGAAGCAAGATAAGCACCCAACACAAGCAAGGCATAGGCAAGAAGAACATGCACTCGGGGGGCGGGGGGGGTCTCTGAGATTAACGGTAAATTGATGCTAAGCATAGCAAAATAGGCATAGCGTCGTCCCTAACAGGCCATCAAACGTTCAATCAGTATCCCAATGTGGGCGCACAGAAACGTCGTTTTGATTCAGCCATTTGGCGCAGATTACGAATTATGGCTACGAATCTGTTGGTGTTCATATGCGACAATTCCTGTCGGAATACAAACGTAGCGTCATTTGGACGGTTCCGTTAATCTATTCGAAATCCGGGTGCCACCAATTTTTTCGCCTTGCCCACGAATCCCGACGTCTGATCCCGTAAACTCAACACAAGTAGAGAATCGCATCCTTGCAAAATTTTTGCGGATGAGATGGTATGAATAGCGAACGTCGCGTCGAGATACTGGGATTAGCTTCCAATGCGATTGGAGTCCGATATCGAACATTCTGGCATGACAAACCCGGGATGCAAAGAGCGCCAACTCATTGTTGGACTGCAGCACGCAGCGGCACGAAATACCGACGTCCCTCGCTCCCACTCTCTCCCGCTCTAACCGGTCGTCTGATACGAACAGAAGATGGTTTGGGATCCAAATTTTGTACGACGACACACGATTCGGTAGTACTGCCGACTCAGGACTAGTCCTGAGCACACGCCATGTCAATTTTCTAGGAGTAGGGCACTGCAAAAAAAGCGATATTTTCTATGCCGTTATGGCATCGAGCTCTTGCGCATTTGGCCTGAAATGTGTTCAGGCGCAATAAGGGGTTCCCTGTGAGAGACCCCGCGTGACGCCGGAGACTAGCCGCAAGGCCGCATATCCTAAAGAACGGCTCGAGCCTTCTGGATCGCCGCACGCATTGCGGCATCTTGTCCAAGTCAGATGCCATCGATTTTCCTGGGCATGATGTGTAATCCATTGATTATATTTACAAGTTGAAAATACCGTAATTCGCAAAATTATAATTGGAAAATCGAGTGTGGGAAGCCCATGGGCCGGATTTACCCTGACAAGCGGCATGCACACGGAACGCGCGGGGCCCCGGCCTATTTGCATGTATCCAAGAGTGAGAAAACACCGCATTGCATTTGCAGGGCGACGGGGGGGCGCCCAATTAGCAAAGAGAGTGCGCAGAACGAGAGGACTCCAAAAACCGAATTCCAGTTCTTGGCACGTGCTCGGGATCGAACAGTGACGACAGCGTGACGGACATCCAGACGGCAGCTCCTGGGGATCAATGCAAATGAGAGAATTCCCTTGGTGGTGGCTACTCCGTCGGGAATTTCTCAGGTACGAGAGGCCCATGTCGGACGCAAGGGCAGAGGGCCGCGCCCACTGTCCATGGCCTTCATGGCTTTCGTTACTTCGTGTCCGTAGTGAAAGGCATCGGACATTTGTGCGTGTTCTTATCGGTTCTGCTGCGGTATGCTCATGGGCCATGCAATGGCGGCCCTGATCGGAGGCGGCGGAGTGGAGTTGGAAGTTGCGAACAATGGGGTTAGGGCGGTTTGGTGATAACGAATTTGCGAAATTGCGTTCTGATGCATAACAACGCGGTTGTTGGATTGCGGCAATACCTTAGGTTCCCGTGGGACATATCGAGGAAGCTGCTTCTCTTGGGCGAAATAGGGATCTGATGGCTGCATTCTCGCCTAGATATGTAAGATTTCTTGATGGCAATGACGAACTTGGCGTGGGCGGACGCGGCGGGACTTCGTAGAGGCCACGATTGGACTCTGTTGACGTGCGAGGGTCCTAGCGCAGGTTTGCGTTAAGGCGCGCAGGGGCACATGGCGTCCGAAGCATCCCCGGATGTTTCCATCCATTTGAGGCGAACTTTAGGTTTGCCTGGGACATACCGTGTCGCGAAAAGCGGGCGGGCGTTTGGGGGGCGGAGGCGCGGCAGACCGCCCCTCCACCCGCATAACAGCAATGCATTAAACACATGTGATTCGAAGGGTAGGCTAGCAGAACTGCTGCCGCGGCTGTGGGGCAAGCAGAGGGGTGTATGCAGGCTGTTTCGTGACGTCGAGCACCCGTCACGCCTGCCCTTCCCTGATCGCATGCTTTGCTAAATCCCGGACCTGAGCTGGACGTCGAGGCAAGTCCGTCTCCGTTGGCGTGCTCATTCTTTTGGGCAGGCTTGGCTTTTACGCTGTGAAAACTGATCATATTTACGTTTTTACGCGCAAAATAGTTCTTACTTTTTGCGCATAAAAATGCGTGAAAATACGTAAATACAACGTAAAAACTGCCTGGTGCACATAAGGACAGTACATACAGACTTACGGAGTCCGAAGAGTGGCAGCCAGACGCACGGGAAGGGGCAAAAAACGAGTTTTTTGTTAAACACCATCATCGCCCTTGCCAACGGCGAAGCGTACATGGTGTTCCAGGTGCTGGAGATGGCGGAGGACTGGTCACTGTACTTAACTTTCATCGTGTAACCTGGGTGTCCCACGGAGCCGAAAAACCATAAAAATAGCCGTAAAAATAGGCCCTTTTGTAAGTTTACGTTTTTACGCGTAAAAACGTAAAAGTGAAAACGTAAACGCAAATGTAACAACCAAGCCTGCTTTTGGGTGTCTCGGAGCATGGGATGGAGCGTGAAGCACCATAGAAATAGATCGGCTGAAGCGCGGTTGGTTCGCAGTTGCGCGACTGCTGGCGTTGAGAAAGGTCCGCCCGAAGTGGCAAGCCTCCAAGGGCAACCCTTCTCATGGGGGTGGCCGAATTCGACATGCATGCACCAGTGGGCGTCGCGGAAATCCATGTGAATGCCAATGCCGAGCCGTCTGCAGGCTGCCTGCATACGCAGAGGGCGGCAATCACGGCGGTGCGCTGTCGATGTGGCCCGGCAGCTGTGCCGCCTTTAGTCAGTTGGGCGCGGAGTACGGTACGCGCGATTCGCGCCGTAGCAGTATGGCGCGATGACCGCCTTTGGATTTTGCATGGCGTGGAGCCTGGGGATTGGCAACCCGGATTTGGGGAAGGGCGGTGACAAATCTCGATCTGGAGAGTTGGAGCGCGTCGACAGACCGGTGCGCCTGAGTAAATACCTGATGATCTAGACCGAATAAAGTCCAGGCGATGGGCGGTAACCCGTGACATTTAATGTTTATATTTGAAACTAACTTTCGTGCAAAATGCCGGTAAGGGGGTCACAGAAAACAACATAACATGCATCCTCTTCTCTTTTTGTTCACTCAAAAATAGCGATGTTGCACATGAATTTCCTTGTTTTCTGACAGCCAATCTTGAGCACAACCGTTTTGCCCAAAAAACACATAATTGCAATGTTGCGCACAAGTGCAGCCTTTCCGACCTTACCGACATTTTGCACGAAAGGCTGTTTTGAGGTCAAACAGGCAAAATCGGTGGAAAGCCAAGACAGATACTTAACGTGATCACCGATGGCAACGCGATGGCCGCTGCGTCCCAGGGACACAGGCTCGCCGTCCTCGCTGCGTTTCCGGGACACTGCGCTTTCCAACATTTGTCGGGTTTGGACACCCATCCGGGAAAAATGGATTCGCGACGTAGCACTTACCAGTAGTAATTCGTTGTGGCCTCGTTTCCAGAAAAGACAACTTACCCCAAGTGCAGCATTGCGGCACGGCACTGGGCAACTTCTATGACGAGCCAAGAATCCAAGACTTGGACATATACTTGGTATATGTATCGACATGTATGCAGTTGTTTCAGACGGTGGCATAACAGCTGCACCAGCGTCCTTGCACCACGTTTGTTTTGGTGAAGAGAAAACGTTGATTATGCTTGGAAATTCAATAAATCAGCAGCTAGAATTCCTGTTAGAATTCGGGTAGTCGATATTGATGCAATATTTCGGCTGCATTGCCATTTACGCAATGCGCAGCTGCAAAACTTCCCATATATCAACATCTACACCCGTGGCTGTGATTGCCAATGTTGCTTCAATGCTTGATGCATATGCCCCGCTGGGGAGCCGCAAGCCGTTGAACTCACTGCATTGCACAACTTCTATCCAGTTGTAGAGGAGCGCAACTGTTTGACGGAACATAATGTTTGAATAGACAGGAAATTTTGAACTTTGATTTGCGTTGTGTACTCTTCGTGCAGACTTGTACATTGACGCGTGCCATGGAAGGCACCTCAATGGGTGATCTGTCGTACATGCCCTTCGAAAATGATGCTCCGCAAGGTGACCTTGGTTGCTCAAGGTAATCACTATCCAGCTCATGGCGCCATTCTGGCTTTACATTCACAGTTCTTTCGCAAGATCCTTGTAGATCCCCACGGCAGCTCATCTTTGCCCACAGATGGTAAAAAATGGGTACTTTAGACGAATCGGTGTCTGGCGCTGAGGCCAAGCTGATGCTCGAGAATATGTACGGGAAAAAAATTGCCGTCGTCGAGCTTGACTTTCGTGGAAGTTCTGTCATTGATATGATTGACATATGCCCAACTCACTTCCCTTTGTATTGTGGCGTTTGCTTCACAGGTGTTTACCCAAAATGTGCGTCGATCCGTTGGCCGAATTTATCTGATTCCAGCAATGTGCGCACGGAGCCACGAAAGCAGCAAGTGCCATCTATATTTATGGCATTGAGCGGCATCAACGGCATCATTCGTGAGTCACTGCTGCAAGCGAATGATGCACAGCGTTGCCTTCACTAACATTTAAGTCGATGATGCGCCGATTTATCCACAATGTCACGATTTCCCAGCTGTTGGGAAGTGTTTCATTTTGCATATAAAATTGTGCACAACTGAACGAGAAAGGAATGATGTAGCTCAAGAAAATCCCCAAAAAAGAAGTACAAGGGGACGATTGCTTTTCCACACTTGCAATAGCTCAGTGCTCCCGAAGATCCTCAATATTGCGACAATGTGCCATTTACATGCTAAAGAAGCATGGATCATGGTGCATTTGGGGGACAAGTATGAATCAAAAATTCTCATGAAACTCTCAGAGGATAAATCCAAGGCAGCGAGCTGAAGTTTTCTGGAACTCCCTCACCCTCTGGCACACATTCGAAAGGCGTTACCTCGCTGGAAAAGGCACCGGAGAGACCACTGGATGCATGCATGTGGCTTGGATTGGCGGACCGCCTGGGGCTGGAAAGGATTCGAATGCGGTGGCAGCACGCGATTTCCAGGGAGCTGAACTTGATGTTCAAGTCTCCTCCCGTGAAGCCCGAGGCAAGGGCTGCCATAGTTTCGCTGAGCCTGTGCGGCGCGTCAGCCCACAGCGTTTGCGAGATTCTTGGGGCGCCCATTATGGCGAGCCCATGTCAAGGGCGCCACGTGTGCGTGCAGTGCAAGAGTTTTCAAAAACCAATTCCAGACAAAGCTGCCAAATTGGGAAAATCGAACAGTGGTGAGTCGTTTCTATGCCCTTCATGCTCACGCGAAGGGGATGTACATCATTTCAGGACGCACAATGGGCCCAGGTGTCACTAGGAAAAAAGGGCCAAATAAAACGTGTTCGAACGAGTGCAAAGTTTATGGGTTTGGTTTATTTAAGTGTTTTTAGCATGCAGAACACTGACGAAGTGCATATATATGTGCTCGCAAAAAGTGCTATTTGGCCCTTTTTCTGCTAGTGTCTGATGCACGCCAGGGCTCGGTCATGAAGATCACATCAGGTTCGAATGAGGCGAACACAGGCCTGACCCACATATGCTCTGCCCTGCGAGATGTCAAAGGCTTGTGAATTGGGAATTTGATCATTCAGAATGGTTGCGGTCAAGAGCGCAAAGAAAAGGCTCATGTATTGCCCTCGGTTGTTGAGACTGTCCATGAAGAAGTGCACGCAATACTGCATCCTTTAGTCCTGTTTTGCCGTGGGTGATTTTTGCGCCGTGAGGACCAAACTCGTGGTTCCCACAATGGGTCTCCAGAACTTCAGGTTCGCTAGAGGGCGGGTTTGCGCGCCGCCACTCTAGGGTCGGGGGTCACGTACTTTAGAACTGGTGTCGGGTTCCAGCATTTTAAGTCTTAGCGTTTCCAGTGCTTACGTCGTTGTATTCCCTGGGCTCCTTGCCTGGCTCGGCGCCGCCGCTCGGCACAGGTGGCCCCAGCCCTCCGAGACGGCGCCAGCTGGTGGATGTGGGATGCTGGGTGTGCCCGACACTTGCAAAAATTAAAGGCCTGGGTGTTGTGTTCCAGTGCTTAACGTTTTTTTCTTTGAGACTTCTTGCCGGGCTCGACCAGCTCTTGGCACGGATTCCCCCAGGCCTTGGAGACGGCACAGTCGAGTGGATGTGGACTTCCCGCACTTGGACTGGAGCCCAATACTTCAGAGTCATTGCGCCCGTACTTTAGACCTGCTCCAATACTTCAGGCTTTCAGTATTTGCAAAAGCTTCATTGGCTGGCTTTGTACTCCTCTTGGTACGGGTGGCGCCAGGCCTCCGAGACGGTGCCCACGCGTGTACTTGAGAGCGGGCGTTAGGACTCCAGTACTTTGACGTTTTGTGTTTCCAGTTTCCGTGCGCCCCCTTTTGGCTTTCCTGGGCGCCTGTTTACTGTTTCCGGCACAATCGCTTGCGCCCTCCTGCGCCGGTGCCGGCGGGTGGATGTGGGCGTCCCGCTCCCTGGGCTGCCGGCTCTGCTCCCGCGCGGACCTCTGTCGCTGCCACCCCTCCCGCCACTCGATACCGTGCACCGATCGCACAGTCGCATTTGGGAACGACCACGCGCGGCGCTCCTCCGGGTGCGATCCCCTTGACTGCGCTTGGCTTTTCGCGATGTTCTGCAGCGGCTGGGTATGACTGCATGTCAAATATGTGCCCGTTACCATGTGCATATCCGTTGGCATCGTGGCAAATTGCGCCACTTGCACCTGCAAGGGGATCCTTGAGGGGGATGGTTCCATCCAGCCACAAGGGCATGGGAGCGTTGTGCGTGGACAGCACGTGTGGAACATTGCTTTGAGGTGGAGCTGCATGCGCGCGAGCGCCTGCAAGGCTTAAAGCAGTGTTTCGTTGTTTCGTCGGAGTTTGCCACGGAATTCAAATCTGGCTGTCCGCGATGTCCTGTGCAAATGGGTTTGTTGATGGCACCTGAGCCAGAGAGTGCGCCCCGCAGGGGTCCCGTGGCCCAGCACGCCGGGGCGCAGCCACTTCGAGAAGGCTCTGGGCCGCAGGAACCGGCGCCGGAAGAGGAGACCGTGACGGTGTACTTCAGGCAGGAGGACACGTTTCTGTGCGCCAAGCCTGGGGACAACATCCTGGAGGCAAGGCCCTGCGTTGCAGCCTTATGCCCTTTTTTTCCCCTAATGCTCCGTCACATTTGAATATTGCATCATACCCTCCAAGCTGGATGTCTTGGGGCGCTTATCCATACGGAACACTGATGTGGAATTTTGGAGGTCAGCAGGTACAATGCATCATGGTAGGAGGAATTGCATAGTGATTGATTGAAGGTTGGGAAGGAAGATTGTGGACAGTTCTGAGGGCTCCTGAGTGCACGTTTCTTGCTGCACAGTGTTCCCATCCGTGTGGTCTGTCTCTTGATAATGCCCAAACCGAAATCTGCAGCTTGGCAAATAGCTCAAAATACTGCTGTGCTGGGATAATGTGTTCCAGATGCATTGATTGTGCACCGAGTCAGTATCTTGGTTGGCCAGTCATTTCAGCAATGCAGCTTGACTCCTGCTTTTGCTTTCATGTTCTGAATCGGAATTGAGTGTTGAAAGATTTCTTCCCAGAATTTCGCAGTCCTGGTCAATCGACTTCCCAGACATTGCCTGAAGCGGCACAAGGGTTGTGCTTTTTCGCATTCTGGGCTGATAGAAGCAGTGCAGAGGACTGAGGGTGCCAAGCATGTGATGTGTCCCATTTCAGACATCATTGAGGGCACTTTATTGTTGCAGGTGGCCAGCAAGTGCGGTGTGGACATTCCCACGGGGTGCATGTCTGGATCTTGCGGTACTTGTGAGGTCTGTTTGCTTTATTGAGCCATTCTGTAGAAAGGCAATCTGTCTGAGCATAATGTTTGCCCAGCCAAGTACTTCTGTACCAGCCATGTAGCACAAGGTGAGCGGCTGTACATCCTTTGAGTATACCTGGATGTGCTACCTATTATGTTGTCTTCAGCTATACTGTTTTTACGTTTTCTACTATCTCACTGTATTTCTTCGGTGGCAGTACAACACATTGCCACACCATCAGGTGATGTTGGGCACACTGTTCCACTTGCTATTGTTGCCGTCTTTGGGCTTAGCAATGGAATGGACCAAAGCACCAGAGTGATAATGTACCAGCACAATGAAGCACCAACACAGCTGCTCGCCCATAGAGAATCTGCCTATAGACATTCTTGTTCTTCTCACATTCCTTTAGCATGATTTTGTCAGTGCCTTCTTCATTTTGAGCAGGTCGGACCAAAACACTCAATTGGAATGTGCCTGAAAGTATTTGCCCTGCTGCAGGTGGAGGTAACAAAGTACAGGAGCGGTGTGACGGACCCCAGGCCAGTTGTCGTCCGTTCCTGCGTCGCCTGCATCCCCCCAGGCTACAAGCTCATCGAGGTGGACGAAGTCAGCGATCCCATATGGGGAGTGGATGGCATGGATTTGTGACCTAACAAGGACATCAAATGCAACCTTCGACAATTCGAAACTGTGTGCACTACTCTTTCGTCAATTGGTCTCGTGTGATAGCGAGAGGATTGTCTGAAGGCTGTCCCAAACAACGATTGCAGCTGCCCTGGGGGTCAGTCGATCCCACGCATTGTGCTGTTTCGTTTGATGCTTCACCAGCAAGCTGAGCAAGTTTTTGGGTGGCCATTTGTGGATTGAAATGAAAATCACCTCAGTTCAGCCCATATCGTGTAATCGTGTGCAATCACGTGAACCCAAAGAGCAATCTTCAAGGAAAGTATCATCCTGGCACACTTGTTGCTAGTAAATTATATACTTGCCGTGGTACTGGCCCACCTCTGGATCAACAAATGCAGAGATAGGCTGGCAATCAAGCAGACACACTAGAGCAGATTTTGTGGATGGAAATCATGCCCTCATTGCTTGGAAACTGCAAGTGCATTGCTTCGACAGGTGCTAGCACACATCCGTAAGTTGACTATACGGTAAGTACTGTAGTATTACGCGCATAGTACTGCTACTAGTAATTAGTTTGGCAATTAATGCAATGGATCACCACGATACCAGATTTGCTCAATCCTTGGTTCCAGCTCTGCGCAGGGTTTAGATGTAGGACTACGATGGCTCCAGAAACGCAAACCTCCAGCAACTCAGTCCGCGAGCAAAGCAAAAAGCAGAGGGCCAGGGGCGTTGGTGATCGCTTCTGATGACGCCAGAGGACTTGTAGCCAACGCCAATTCCCAAAAAGGTGCCAACAGAAAAGAAGCGCGACACCACAAGACACTTGACACTGAGAAAGCTGTCGTTTTGTCGCCAATCACGAAGATGCACTAGAGCTGGTGGAAAAAGGGGGATGTCCCACTTCCCAATGCACCGCACGCCGCCTCCCCTTTCTCCCTGCGCACTCGAATGTGCGCATGCAGGCCACCGCCAAGCCACCTGCGGCCACAGCCTCGACACAGCAAAAAGAGAACCCGCCTGCCTTTGCCCAAGCGCAATCCATTCAGCAGGGTCAAAAAAGTGCACAAAGATCAAAAAAGATTCTCCAGCACTCACCTAAAGACCGAGCATTGTCACAGACCAGTATTGACAATGAGCAACAAAATGGAGGCAAGTGGGGGTGTTCCACTTCGCAGTGCCATGCACTATGCTGCTGTCCAGAGGCGCAGTACATCCCAGTACACAGCAATACAACGTGTAATGTCCTTCAGCACCTGAGCGATCGTCAACCACACACACATGCTGCTCAAGTCAGCTAGTGTGCCATCCTCAGCATTGCAACGTCACAAATATCTGCACTCCAAATTCTGTATCATGACCAACACCCGCCAAAAAGGCGCCAAACACTAAATTCGAGCGTCAGGCGTTGTCCTCGGCCGCTCGCTGTAGGTACTCCCTCATTTTTTGAATGTCGTCGTCGTTTGGGAACTCCCCGCCCTCATCCAGAGCCAGCTTCCGGCGGCCGACGTTCAGATTCGAATTCGCCGCATAGTCCAAGGCCCTCAGGAGAGACAGCTCGACGACCACAGACTCGCTGGCTGTGGGCACACAATTAACAATATTGTTGGAAAGTAAGGCACCAGGCTCAGTCCTTGAAGCACTTGGTTGGCCATTTTTTCCCTGAAAGGTGTTAATTGTGCGAGGCATCAGCACAGGACGCCACCTAACGTCATGAGCAAGAAACAGAAACGAGCCCGGGAGTGCTTGGGCATATCCAGGCATGGTGGCACACACACCTGCGGTACTAGTTGCCTGGTGGCGACTTCATTTTCTAGTCAGCAAGCGTCTCACTGGTTGTGGGTGGCAAAAGGCAACAAGAGGAATTGCAGAGGATGACGCAACGACACAATGGCCGGGCGGTCGTCCCACTCGTTACCACTGGTAACGTGACCAATATGTGGTCGCTCTGAGGATCCCGAGTTGTGCCAGCACATTGACCATGCAATGGCAAGTTGAATCACGTCACCATCACCAGCGCCACCATAAGCAAATGCGAACGCCCAAGAGCACACAACCACCAACAAGCAAGATCGCAAAACGCCACACATCGCAGAGTCATCACCAATATTCTGTTCCCCAATACTGACCGACCTTCACATGCCAATTATCTCCTACACAGTCGTATTTGGTGCAATTATACAAGGATGTTTATCACATCCAATGCAATTTCAGCAAGTTGCCCAAAAGGCGTAAAGCCACATACGTTTGGTAGTCTTGTGGCGAAAGCAAAATGTGCAGCCCCTCTCCGCCAGCGCCCAGAAGAACGCATCCTTGTGTGGCTCATTCCAGGGGCCCACGTGCCTGCGTCCTGCATGCGTGTAGCGGTTGAATCGCCGCCGCAAGTGTTCTGGAAACCACGAGCGAAAGGTAAGCTAGAGTGAGGGCAGGAGCACTCAGCAAGATGGTCGATGGCAATTTTTCCAACACAGAGCGAATGGGGACAAGAGAACGGCGAATTCATAAGCAATCAGTAGTCAACCATGAATTTAATTGGAATGCAGTTCATCGGAAAGCGTAGAATGATAAACTCATAGTTATGACGTTAGGACGTTCTTTTCTGAGTGATGTCAATGATTCCATCAGCTTCTTGTGATTTCAGAGTGTTCTACTGATAGAGCACAAATGACTGCGAAATGTATGCAAGTGTTGAACACTTGGCAACCTCAAACATCACTGTAACAAGTTGACACATTGCCGCAGACACTTTCCTGACACCAGAGACTCCTGGACCAGTGCAAAAATATCTCCATAGCTGGGTGACTTATGCAGCAGCGTGTGTTCGCTATGAACAACGAGAATTCGTCAATTCTACCTTGCAAGCCAGCAATAGCAGTATTATACACCATGATGCTTTTGATTCCAAGAGAACTTAGGGCAGTAGTCTTGACTACTTGGCATGGATCGGGCTCTAGGGCATATTGTTGTAGACCCACGTAAGTCACACAAGCACATTGGTGCACATTGCACAATGTAAGGCAATTTGCTCGTAGAAAGATCTCCAAGTGGGCACATTTAGGAAGTGATCTTACCTGCTTTGCCAAGGTAGAAACATGTCACCTTGTTGCTGCTGTTGGGAAATCTTGCTCCCCATTCGTACACACCCGGTTCTGAGGGGATGCTCTCCTTGCATCTGATAAGGTTGTCTGATGTTACGTCCAACCATGGGCTGAAACCCTTGAAATACCTGACCACTCCAAACTTAAGTCAGAAAAGTAATGCAATATGATGTCAACAGGAGGACCTGGCATAAGTGGGGCATCTCCCCCCCCGTCCAACACCGTTTGGGATTCCTCCATGGTGCAGAATTGACTGACAAGAAGTCCTCATGTCCAACAGACCACATCCACAATGTTCCGTTCATAAACACAACAACAGCTTCATGTCAGGATGTGCATTGCCACTGTTTTGCTTGTTATCTGTACGATACACTGCACACGTGCAATCAAAGCAGATCCAGGAAATGGTGGAACTCAAGAAAACCAGCCAATAGCACAGACTCACAAACACACCTGTCATGATCATGCGGCACCCTCTCCCTTCGTTGAGCCCTGAGCTGCATCCTGGTTGACCATGGCCATGATGGCCACTCGCTCGGCCCGATTCGATGTGCAGCCCGTGCACTTCGGGTAGTTCTCAGTGCCAAACCGCCACCACCATTGCTGCACATCCCAGATCTGGGAGCCTTCCATTCAGGCGCTTGTTCAGACTGGCTTGCCGCGATCCCTAAAGGTCCATTTGAACCAGGACCATGTTGCGCATGGCGTGGCATCGTCACT